CTAGGAAGAGATTGGAACCAGATGGAAAGTATTTTACACCCTGATACTGCACCTTAGAGCAGAGATTTGGGTTTTATTTACGTGGGATTACTTTCACAGAGGAGTTTAACATGCACATGGCCTTGAGAACCACTACCCTAGGAAATGTCAGTTCACATCTGAGTAGCCATAATGGAGAGATTACACCGGAACAGGAAGCATTTAAAAAAATGCTCACAAATCCCAGGGAAGGCAACCATAAGCACTTCAACCTCTTATCAGTATCTTGTTAGGATTAGAAATATTTATAAATTATTTCTCATCGAAAGGAGAATTCCTAAATGTGGTTTGCTAGAAACACAAAGAATCCTGCCAAGTCTCAGCTTGAAGATTTATGTAGCCCAATGTGTCAGACATTTCGGCGTTGTTAGCCCAAAAATCTCAGGCTAGGACTAGGTCAGACCTGGTGTTAAGATACACACGGAAAGAACTGTGTCTGAGGAGACTAGAAAATCAACTACAATTTGCTGCTTCAAGTGAGCCTGTCTCAGTGGGCCTGTTTTGGTGGCTGAGCCCTGTTTGAATGTGTGGCAGAATTGTACTGAGACACATTCGTTTGTGCTGGGACACCTGCTATAAGGTGTGTGGGAGATGCATGGCCTTCACTTCCTTCTAATCATTAGGTGGCTGCCAATAACTGCAGAAAGGAACCTTCTCCTGGGGGTGGCCCAAGTGGCTTAGGGCAATTTGCATGCTTCCTGTCCAGGGCCATGGGCTGAAGGACCTTAATCTTGACTTTGTTCTTTGAGAAGAGGTGAAGACAGATACCACAGTCAGGCTCAAAATGTTCCCAGTACTTTTTCGCGTTCCAAATACAGGTGATTCAATTCCTGGTTGGCAGGGGAGAGGAAACAAACTTGAACCTTGTTTATGACCTCCCTTTGGCATTTTCAAGTGTGTAACTGAGCCGTGGCTTGGCTGTAGGGACATTTGGATTCCTGGTCAGGCTAAGTCAGCCATTTCTCGGAGCCAAGGAAGGATGAGTAACAGCCAGGACCGGGAAGGCTATTCAGGATGGCACAATGAGCAATCACAATGACAGAACATGGGGTCTTCCAAGGTAGGACCTGGCTACAGTCCTTGGAGTGCTGCCTTTTAGTAATCAAGGTGGACATCCCAAGGAATGTTAATGTAATAAAACTTGGTATAAGATGCCATTGGTCGTAACAAATAAAATTATCATCTTGTAAAAAGCCTAAATGTCCATCAACAGGAACACAGTTAAATAAAAACCAGCATGTCCATACATGCCATCATTTAAAATAATGAGATTCTGCTAATGAAAGACCATCTCCAAGATACTACTAAGTAGGATAAAAAAGTCGTTTCAAATCTCCACACAGTTATGTTTAAGCAATATTTTGTCATTTACAAAATAAATGTGTATATTTCTTATATAGTTAAAAATATAGTGGGCCCGGCACGATAGCATAGTGTTAAAGTCCTCGCCTTGAATGCGCCGGGATCCCATATGGTTGCCGGTTTTAATCCCAGCAGCCCTGCTTCCCATCTAGCTCCCTGCTTGTGGCCTGGGAAGCAGTCGAGGATGGGCCAAAGCCCTGGGACCCTGCACCCGCATGGGAGATCCAGAAGAGCTCCTGGCTCCTGGCTTCGGATTGGCTCAGCTCCAGTCGTGGTGGCTACTTAGGGAGTGAACCATCGAGTGGAAGATCTTCCTCTCTCTCCTCCTCTCTGTACATCTGCCTTTCCAATAAAAATAAATAAATATTTTAAAAAATATATATATATAGTAAGAAGAAAAAGTGAAAAGTCAGGTCCAAGTAAAAACAAAACTGCCCTTGGAGCCTGGCTATGGCACACGAACGTGACTGGTGTCCAGGCACCTCTTTCAATCCTTCCATGAAGGTAAGAAGAGCTTTAGGCTCTATCTGTCTGCCCATCACTTTCTGCAGTTTGAAGTAGGATTTAAGTTCTGGTCTGTTGTCGTTCGCTCATCGCCTGTGTGAATCCTTAGGGAGGTGGAAAGCTCTGGAATCATCCCCTAAATCGTTCTGGTTGCAGATGGTTGATGCTGAGTTCTGAATAAACCGGAGGGCCAACCAGGAGACTGCCGTTTTAATTCACATTGGTAAAGAGAGTTTATAGCTAGTTTGAGGCTATGATAAAGCCAAATATACATGTTTCGGTATTTAGCCCACTAGATGACCTTCTATGGGGAAGAAACTTCTTTAAACAAAAACGACAGGGAAAATTGCTGGAGTGAGAAGTTATGTTCTTCATTTTGATGAGTACCAATATTTGAAAATGCAATCTGTCTCACGTGTTGGGAGGGAGCTAAACACCCAGGCCATTTTCTCAATGCTTTTTCTAGGCCATTCACAGGAAGCTGGATTGAAAGTGGAGCAGCTAGGACACAAACTACCACCCACACGGGATGCAGGCATCAAAGGCAGCTGCTTTACGCACTAGGCCACAATGCCGACCCCTACAACCTCTTACTGAAAAGCAGAAGCTCTCCTGTTCAATCATGACGGTCTGGGTCGCGGCCGGCAGGGAGTGCTCTGCCGTGGCCCTGTCTAGGTTACCCACACAACCTGTCCTTCGGGGCTTCAGAGCTACTTCTCTTTTAGTGCTACAGATCACAAAGTTGTTTTTCCGGACTTCCTGGAGCTCCTCAATAGAATCAATCAGGTTTGAAGGGATAATTAAATGACTGGAAAGAGGAAAGGGCTGGGTTAGCCTCCCTACCCACTTGCTTGCATTCTTGGAAGCAAACCTTTTAATCAATCCTGTTTGAGCCCTGAGTGGGTCTAGGAAGTGCTCCAGGAAAAATGCTCTAGGCCCAATAATTTTCTATTTCTTCATGAATACAATCAAATCTCTTCCACGTGGCTTCCGCTACAAGTTACCTAATATTTCGATGCCTCTCTGTGAAAGCAGGACACTGTTCCTGCTCAAATTTGAGGGCACAAAAGCTGAATATTCAGATTTCTTAACCCAAGATCTTTCTTCAAACTACCACCTAGTCAGGCATTTAGTATTGTGGTTAAAACAGGTTAAAATGCCATTTCCTGGACCCAACGTGGTAGCCTAGTAGCTGAAGTCCTTGCCTCGCATGTGCTAGGATGCATGTCTTTGCTGCTTCACTTCCCATCCAACTCTCTGCTTGTGGCAGTAAAGGACAGCTCAAAGCCTTGGGATCCTGCACCTGCGTGGGAGACCTAGAGGAATCTCCTGGTTTCAGATTAGCTCAGCTCCGGCTGTTGCAGCCACTTGGGGAGTAAACCAGCTGATGGAGGAACTTCCTCTCTCTGTCTCTCCTTCTCTCTGTAAATCTGCCTTTCCAATTTAAAAACTGATTAAAAATGAATAAATCTTAAAAATAAAAAGATGCCCAGGTCCCATATTGAAGTATCACCGATCTCTGGCTTCTGATTCCAGCACTCCTGCTAATGCAGTCACTGGGAGGGCAGCAGTGATGACTTCAGTAACTGCCTTCCTGCCAGCCATGTTTGAGAGACGTGGATCGAGTTTCCAGCTCCCAGCTTTGGTTCCGCTCAGCCAGTTGCAGCTCTCTCTCTCTCTCAACCTCTCTTTCTCCTAGTGTCTCTGTATATCTCTTTCTTGGATGTCTCTTAGATAAATAAATGCTAAAAACATAGATATGCCACTATGTTTTGGTTAGGGCTAAAAAAAGACCATATCTCATGGCTATTCCCCATTGCTTTGATGAAGAGCTCAAAGAAAATAGTGTTAGACATATCCATCTCAAAGGAAAGACTAGGATGTTTTCTTTAATTAATTTCCTGTTAGAACAGAAAATTAGGAAATCAGAACATGATACAGAGCTGGTGCAAAGGTCCCTCACTGTCAAAGTTTTGGGAGAGGGGCATCAATTTCTCATCCAGAAAGTTGTAGAAACACCACCTATGTTCGTGTCACTTCAAAAAGGGAAGACAAGAATGACAGCTTTGTTTGCTAAAGAGAGGGTCTGAAGAGAGACACAGAAAAGTCAATGGAACATTCTAACCAACATTCCTTCCAGTAATATTCTTCTATTCCTAAAAGGGGAGGGGGGTTGGCAATGACTGATAGGAACCCTAGTATCTCCTTGAACTATAAGGAAACCTACATGTTTTTCACAATTCAACACCTCAGAGATGCGAGCTTAGAAATGCAAGTCTTTGCAAAGCAAGGCACATTGCTGCCTAGCACTGTGTGTCCAACCTTGATGTGGCAGAACCCTCTGGATGCTTTGAAAAAGACAGATATCTAGGAGTCAATTAAAATGGACAAAGCCCCTGGAGGGGGACCCTGAGGTATGCCTTTTTGATAAGTTCCTACAGGGACCTGAGAACTCCTGGCTCAACTACCTGATCAAGGTCATGCTGCTGCTAATATCTGGTCTCACGTAATCCAGCTCTGGACCACTCTGATCCACTTTGAAGTAAAAATGCTCAGTTAACTGTGCTACTTTAGAAACACAGTGAGCATGTCATGTGCTAATTATGGCCAGTGACACCTTAAAATAAAAGTGCATTACTGACTGCTTTCAGTTTCTTGTAAGGATGGGAAGGTGGCATGTCATGAGGCCTTTTTAGCCCCAGACATCACTCCAGAGAATTCCAAATAGATATAGATAGAAAAGTGCCATTAGGACTTAAAGCTTTTCCTCTCAGGCTATTTATCCAGCAGAATAGGAGGTCCTAAATCAACACTTCCCCCCTAATCGAATTGTTGATAAGCCTGGTTATCAGAAAGATATTACTGGGGGTGTGATATGTAGGACATTCACATTTTCTTGATAGGTTGGTCATATGAGAGCTGACAAAGAAGGAAAAGGAGCAGTGATGTGGTGCAATATTCACAGACAGCTGTCCTCTGGCTTCACGATAAATAGGATGATTCGCATTGCTGAGCAGTGTGGTCACTGCCAAAGGCATGGCCCTCTCACATTTCTTCCTGATTCACATATTCAGGGGGAGGTGGTGGAGCTTGTCATCCCCTCCCTCTTGGGCTTCCCAGACACTGAGTCTGGAATGAAAATTCACCTGCCTCTGAGTTGGCTACTGGCGGGGGCAGGGCTGTTACTTGGCTTCCCAGGTTGGAAGATTATCTCACCCAGCTCCAACTATATAAGCCGAGCAGTGCGGAGGGATTCAGTAGGGCCAACTCCAGGGACTCATCCCACAGGAGAAAACCATAGAGGCACTGCAGCCAACATGATGATGTTGAAGGTAGAGGAGCTGGTATGTGAGATGCCTTAATTTTATACAATGAAAACGGTTGTCTTTGCTTTTCTTTGAAAATTGAAATCGCCTTTTTTTTTTTCAGGCATCATGCAAGGTAACTTAAACAATGTTATATATGGAAAAATTTGGTTTACATGATGAACCAAGTGAAACCGAAAAAAAATTGGAGGAGATAGAAATAAGTGTATAGTTCCTATTTATTATTTCCTCTTTCGGTTTTATTACTATAACATGGACTCACATGTACTTACCAAAATGTCTTAGGTAGATATTTTATGGCAAAAAGATATTTGGAAAAATCTACAATTCAAGGTCAAGAGCTATCAAAATTACCTCATGTGAAAAAAAATCTTAAATAAGCAGAGGAGTTTGTCAGTTTCCTCAGAGAAAGGTGATTAAGCAAATAAAGTAGATTGAAATATGTGAACTCAGCCTAAGCCTTGTTCTAACCAAGAGGTCAGGTAAGCCCTTGGCGGTACCTGAGTGTACCTGGAGCCCCATGCTGCATCCTGAGATCTGACAGTGCAGCACACACGACGGCTCTCACCCTCCACAGCATCTCCAGGGTGGACACCACCGCTTCTGACGCAGCCACATCCTTCCCCTGCAGGTCACAGGGAAGAGGAGCAGCCTCGAGGGGACAGGGGAATTCCTTCCTGCTGATTTTAGAGATGGAGAGTATGAAGCTGCCGTTACTTCAGAGAAGCAAGAGGATCTCAAGACACTCCCAGCCCACCATGTGATCCTGGCAGAGCAACAGTGGGAAAAGGAGAAGCAGCGGGAGGCAGAGGTAAGACATTTTCATAGGATCTGCTAATGGGAGGTTGGGGTTGATATGGTGGAGAGATGGAGAGAGGAAAGAAACCAAACTACATCCATTCCGAAGGCATTCCCTTTATACAGTTCTAACCACAGAGACAAGCTTTGTGGAAGCAGTTTAGAAAAATAATTATTTGATGAAACTATGACCTCTGAATTCTGAATCAATTATTTAATGTGCTGTGATAATGCTTTGAGAGACAGATTTCAAAAGTAAACATATCTACTGAATCTGTAATGTCACACACCATCTAGTTAATCCCTCTTAATAATGTGGTTGGCAGCCTATGGGTCATTGCTGCACTGTATCTGCTTTCTGTGTTCCTAAGTAAATTCTCATTGCCTACTAACATATATAACATGTGCCTTAGTTAGCTGCAGTCCCTGGGTGGTCTGTTTTAGAGATCCTACTTGGTGGGCACTGATATGTCAGAGTTTAATATGTATTATCAGACTCTTTTGAGTTAACAAAATTTAATTCTTGAACATGATTACAAAGACTACAAAAGTCTGGGGCTTGTTTGTAGAATTAATCACAAAATCATCACTTAGAGACCCAATCGTGTCTCCGGTTAGTCAAGGGCTGGAGAAATAAAGGAAGTATACTTGAAGCTAATTAGTTGAAAATTTGATTCCCCAAAACTTAAAATCATTAAGTCTAAGTCAAAGATATATTTTAAAAGTTTGATTTTTTTTTTTTTGCCCAAACTGTTCATACTTATCTGAGACAGTATGATTTTGTTTAGACACCATCAGGATGCTTGTCAGAACTCACCACATTTTTTTTCTGAAATCTGGATTTCTGTTTTTAGCTCAAAAAGAAAAAACTAGAGCAAAGATCAAAGCTTGAAAATTTAGAAGACCTTGAAATAATCATCCAACTGAAGAAAAGGAAAAAATACAGGAAAGCTAAAGTTCCTGCAGCAAAGGAACCGGAACCGGAAATCATTGTAAGGCCTCCTTGGTTTTTCATTATCACACCCCCAGGGTTGTGCTACAAGGGAAAAAAAGGTCTAGGCAGGGTTTGGTTGAATGCTCATGGTAATTTTTACATTTTTTATTCCTTTTTCTGCTATAGACAGAACCTGTGGATGTGCCTAGCTTTCTAAAAGCTGCTTTGGAGAACAAACTGGCAGTAGTAGAGAAGTTCTTATCAGACAAGAACAACCCAGATGTCTGTGATGAGGTAAGGCTCATGCTAAGCATTGCAGAATCCATCTCACTGACTTTGTGCTTCTTGTGCTTTATAGCACCTTGCTAATATACAGTGCCAGTCTTGCCACCTGAAACAGTTCCCCCTCCCCAACCCAACTGTTGTCATACCTGCCAGGGACATAACAGGAGAATGTAGAGGTTAAAAAAAAAATGTAGATTAGTAGTACGGATTATTTGTTTATTGGTTATCGGTACTCACATACTTATGGCTGATTTTCTTGTTTGTCTTTAGCTTCTTAGGTCTTTGGGATAAACTTTAGTAAGGAAGGATCAGAGAATCATGTTTGATTAGATCAAAATATACTGGCACTAGATGTAGATTCGAGAGTGGAATTCAAGGACCAGCTCTACTACTGTTGGGCTATTTGATTTTGAGCAGTTAATGTGTGCTCTCTAGGCCTGCCTCTTCATCTGTAAGCACAGGGAACTGAATGAAAGGAAGCCTTACTTGTTTCAGTTCTGGTATTAACTCATTCATGCGAAGGCAATTCACCAAAAATTGCTAATCTTGTATGATTTTACCCATTAGCTAAAACTGGGTCAGGGGAAGCACTTCTGAGTTTACATGCGAAATATGAGCCTCCTATTTCTTTAAACACAATTGAATACTTTTGAGAGTCAACCTAACAATCACCCCATATAGGAGAAAACCGATCTGTATAGAAAACACTACAGAAAGGTACTAAATATAAGAATAGGAAATGTCATCATTTAGGTAATTCTGAGCCTCTAAGTTCCCATTTGACAGTGCAAATCTTTGAAGACTTAGAAATGCATGTTGCAAGAAGTTCAAATCTTAGTTACAGGATATTTGTTTTAATTCTGTAACTGTAGTTAAGGTTGACACTCCTAATTCATAAGGAAGCACTTGCTTTTCTGTCACTTGGGTCATCACTGTCACCAACTTCATACCTCTGAAAGAATTTATGCACATTTTTATATGCATTGCTGTCTTCTCTCTTTTTCAATCTCTATTCTGACAGTATAAACGGACAGCTCTTCACAGAGCATGCTTGGAAGGGCATTTGGCAATTGTCGAGAAGTTAATGGAAGCTGGAGCCCAGATTGAATTCCGTGATATGGTAAATATACTTCTTTGCTTGGAAATAAGCCAAAATAAGTAAACCATATAGAAACTCAAGAAAGCCAACAATGAAAAACTGGGATGATTGGATTGAAAATTGATCTGAGAGGAGTTGGCAAAAGCTCATTTCTCCATACAAAGAAAGTTGGGAGATGGGACTAGATCATGTGGAAAATACTTTCCATACATACAGAAAAAGAGATGAGGGTTTCAGGAAGAGAAGGAAGCAAAACCTTCTGAACAGAATTCAATATCCTGAGCAAGTTTGGTCATTATCCACTAAGTTGCATTTCTGAGAAGTAATACAGTTTACATTTGCCTTTCAACACTCTGTTCTTCCATTAAACATGGAAGCCTGCTCATGGCCCCTGGGCTACCAGTAACTATAAGAATTCCTTAGCTATGTACTTTATGTGATAGATGCCGATTGCCACTGACGAGGTTGTGGGCAGACTACATTCTAAATGAATTGCATTTAAGGAAAGTAGCTGCTATGCAGACAATAATTCAGCCATTGTGATTTCTATCAAGACCAGTATATAACATATTTTATCAACTGAGCTGTGAAAAGGCTTTATTTATTTATATGAAGCTTAATTTGACTCAACAGCAAAGTGGCAAGGGGGTACCATAAACATCCAAAGGATGTGGGCTAAAATCAAAACCAAAGAACACATTGAAAAAGATTAAGGAAACAAATACAAAGCTTGCATGAAAAGACTGAAACTGAGTGTGGGATATGGGAGCCTAGGGATATACCGAATAGAGCAGTGAGAAGGAAGGTACAATATGCAGTGAACACAGCTAAGAGACAGGGCTGTGCTAGGCTCCATGACAACAGAGAATCAGAGAGCAACAGGGACCCTGGAAAAGGTATCAGATCCAGATTAGAATGCTCTTCTAAGGAACTGCTTCTACTCTGCCAGCAGTTTTGAATATGTGTGCCTAGATTTTTTGAGCATATTTAATAAAAGGGGTTAAAAGTTTCAGATGTTTGAATATCTATCCTGCCTCTTACTAGTTGTGTTTCCTTGGGCAGAAAAGTAGAACTTTCTGGATCTTAGTTTACTTTAACTGCAAAATGAGCCTAGTAGCACTTACCTTCCTGAAGTTGCTGGGAGAGTGTATGGCGTACTCTGGGGGTATTTAGAGTATATAATATGTACAGTGTACATGTAGAGTGTATAGTGTACTCTAGAGGTGTGTAGAGTATGACACCAGGCTGGCAGGAAGTAATTGCTATTTTACATGATTGTTAAATTAATAGCTCAATGACACACACATATGTGCATACATGCATGAATGCATATGCACATATACTGACAGAGCCTAGCTAAAACATTTGGTAAACAACTGTGCATTAGAATTGGTCATGCAGATGAAGCCAACCCAGGGCTACCATGTACACCCTAACAAATCTGGCTTCTGGGCTTGAGAAATCAAGTATGGATTCCCCTGCCCAGATTCTTATCCAGGTTGTGTCCTTTCGCCTTCCTGTATAGCTTGAATCTACTGCCATCCACTGGGCATGCCGTGGAGGAAACCTGGAGGTTTTAAAACTGTTGCTGAACAAAGGTGCAAAAATCAGCGCCCGAGATAAGGTACCTGTCCTTCTCCTTCCCCTCCCCTTCCCAGCCTCACCTCTCCATGACGGTCATCTGGAAGCCCCTGCTATGTACAGACATCCTGACCACTTCTCCTGCTTGCACATGCCTTGGGGTCTGGGACCGTGCTGTCCTCACTTCCAGAGCATCAGCAGCCTTTTCTGATTTTCCAGTTGCTCAGCACAGCATTGCACGTGGCAGTGCGCACAGGCCACTACGATTGTGCAGAGCACCTCATCGCCTGTGAAGCAGACCTGAACGCCAAAGACAGAGTGAGTAGTTCATGCTGGGCGGCCTACAGCTGCATTGCTCATTTGGACTCACTCCTGCAAACTGGGGGATTCTTTCAGGACCCACTTCCAGGCTTCAGACTCACTGTAGCCTGCTGTTTATTCTGCTTCTCTAGGAGGGTGACACGCCCCTGCATGATGCTGTGAGACTGAACCGTTATAAGATGATAAGACTCTTGATTATGTATGGTGCGGACCTCGGCATCAAGAACTGCGTGAGTACTTCAAATAAGGGGCACTGAAGGCAGGTTTTCTGATTTCTAGAAGCATTTCTTAAATGCTTAAGGCTACCCAAGGAGATAGCATTTTGAGAAGTCCTCTGGTGGTGTCAATGTCCCTCTCCATTTCCATAAGGACAATGTTAACTTCCACAATGATGCAGGTTGCATGGACAGAGAGAGAATTCATGTACTGCTATGACTTTGATTTAATAATTCTCTAGAAAACCAACCTTTCCTCATGGTACTAATTCCAAACACCATGCAATATAAGCTTGAAAATACCATCCAGCTAAAGAGGGATAAATGACTGAAGAAATGATTTTGAAGATTTTAGAGAATTACCTTACAAAAAGGGAGGAACGAACCATGCCATCTTATCAATATGAGTATTTTTTTCCTTGTTTATGTTACTAGAGACTGAGGGGAGCATCTTATTTTAAGAAATCTTGTTTGGTGATAAGGGCAAAGAGCAGCAGTAGTAAGTGATGACCCCTTGGGTTGGCAAAGCGTTAGCAGTAGGGCGCTCTCCTGTACAATTCTAGGATTGTCTCACCAGGTGACTTTTTAAAGCAATCAGAAGGATAGATTCAATGCAATCTCCATAACTGTAGAACACCTGAAGCTTTTTAAAAATTTTCAAGCAGTAGAACACTAGCAGCAGAGATAAACAGCATACACATTTGAGGGGACTATGTAAGTAGCCAGAAAATCAGGAGCTAAACTTCAACAGAGAAGATGGCAAGAAATTTGTGGAAGAATAACCCAAAATACACAGAGTGCTCATGGCTCTGAATTATCAGTTAAACTTCAGCCAACAGGTGGCTCTCCCCACTAGTGTACAGATAGCACATACTATTCTATTGTTGTCCAAACTCTGTCTTCCTGTCTACTGAGGGCTGTTCCTCCAGAAAGGCATTAGAGAGATGGAAGTTCTCAAATACTTACAGAGATCCAGGCAGGTCACACACATGGCTTCAATGGGTCTTTGCAACTCTTCTAAAAAGGTGATAAATCTTCCTCAATTCAGTTCTTTGTTCCTCTTTGGCCCAGCTCTACTGATTTTCTCATAGAATCACAGATCCAGTTGGGAAATGTCTGGACAACCAACTGTTGTCAATTAATTCTAACCTTAAAAAAAAAAAAAAGCTTAAGCTGTTTAGGCAACACCAAAATAGGGGTATAGACGGATTTGCATCTCCAATCTGTTACTTTGCAAATTCTGGGTGAAAGAAACGCTTCAGAATGCGCAGAGATGTAAAACATTAGGACTTCTATCTCAGTGGTTTTAGTATTTGTAGATATCTGAAGATGTGTGCCTAATGGAAATCATTTAATCCCAGAAAAGTATTTATTTACACATCATAGGCATCAACTCTGTGAGAAATAAATTTGCCAGGAGTTCACAATGTAAATTCTGAGAACTGAAAAATCTGCTCCCAGAACAGGGCAACGCCTATTTAAACCAAGGTGCTGAAGCAGATCTTTAAAAGAAGGATGATTTGCTCATTTATTTGAAAGACAGAGAGAGGGAGATTGTCCATACACTGGTTCATTCCCCAAATGGCCTCCATGGCCAGAGCTGAGCTGGTCCAATACTAGGAGCCAGGAGCTTCATCCAGGTCTCCCACATGGATGCAGGAGCCCACTGAGATGGGCCATCATCTACTACTTGCCAAGTGCATTAGCGGAGAGCTGGATTGAAAGTTCAGTAGCCAGGTTTTGAACCAGCATCCTTATGGGATGCCAGCACTCCATTGCTCTGACTCTGGAAGTAGCTCATTTACCACCAGCCCTTATCAATCACAAATGATTTTACAAATTGATAGGACTTAGTTTTTGACCAGAAGGAGCACCAACACCTTCAGGAGCCCATTCTTCAGGATACTGGAACTGAAGAGGCAGTTGTGAGTTTAAAATGACTTGGGGTGCTTCTGCTGCTTATTGTGTAGGGATCAGCTATTTTATCAACACCTAGGATAGTCCCATAGAGGAAAAGATGGATGCTAATCTAAAATGCCCAAAGCATTCCAGTGCTAAATGAGGATTGGCTTGAAGATAAACTGCAAGTAAAACACCGATAACATACACCCAGCCCTTCCTTCATTAAACATGCAGCAAGAATGGAGTTTAGATGCTTCTTGCCTGGAAGTCAAATTTTCATTCTTTTTTTTTTTTTAAATTAGGCTGGAAAGACCCCAATGGATCTAGTGTTAAACTGGCAAAATGGAACCAAAGCAATATTTGACAGCCTCAAAGAGAACTCATACAAGACCTCTCGCATAGCTACATTCTAAGAAAATGAGACAATCAGCAATTGCTTATTGGCACTTTGAAGGCATGACCTGAATGAAGGGCAACTTGCCAGAGTCCAACATCTGTTCATCAACCTGCTGTGAAGATGCAATCAACAAAGTTTCAAGGAAGCACGGGGTTATAAGGTGTTTAAATTTTCTTTAGCAAAACCCAAACTATTTATTTTAATTTATTCCACTTTATTTATTTACTTTGATGATACTGATCTCCAGACCTTCATGAACACCCATTTGGTAAGCAAAGCACTTTCTGTATACAGCATTTCCCAAGCTTGATAGTTCAACTGTGGGAAACGAGCGATGTTCCGAGTGTCTAGTCAGGTGTCTCCTCACGCGTGTCAAGATTTCTTCAAGGTGTTTTTAAATGAAAAGGGTGACTGTTACAGCTCTCTTTTCTCCTGAACTTTTAATGCTGAAGTTCAAATGATGAAGCAATGAAAGGCATGTAGCGACAGGAAGAGAACAAGACAATGAAAGTAATTCTGTGAGAACCACAGGAAAGCCAACCATTTCCCCCTGAGGCCTGGTTTTGTTTTGTTGCCAAACGATACAGAGTTCCAAGGTGAAGAGAATGTGGTGGATGTAAGTGCAGGGTAGGGAAGGGGTGGCCTATGGGGCCACCAGGACTGAATGTGCTTAAAAAAACATCAAAAACTCAACCCAACCAACCAAACACAGAAATGCAAGCTGTAAATGTATAAATGTATATTGTGCTGTATGTATATTTTATATTCATAATAAAAGGTAACAAACACTATGTCTCTTTTCAAGTTCTTAAATATGGTGAAAATGTCCTGTAGCAAAAGGCCACTCGGGAAGGGTTCTGTTCCCAGTGTTCCAAGGCTTTAAGATTAGGGCTATCCTGTACAGCAGCACCCTTGTTGGTACTTAATTAGAATGCAGATTCTGATCCTGCCAATCTTATAGGCAGGGCCCGAGATTCCTCACTTTCTGACAAGTTCCCCTGGTGCGGAGAGACATCTAGTGGGCACAGGGACTACTTCAAGTTAAGTAACTGCTCCCTAATTAGTCCCCCAACAGGATTTGACCAGAGGAGCTTGAATAATTCCGGTGGTGTGTGTGGGGATCCCTGGTGCTCTCCAAGGCCACACAGAGAACACACTGCTTCACTGATTTTTGGTCTCCAATGGGAGACTTCTTGCCAGGTACTAAGAGTTGTCTCTGGTAAGAAAAACAGTGTCCCTGCCTTGCTCTCCTGGAATGGATAAGCACTGAAGAAACAGATGCAGTTATCAGCCTGCGGTACGCAGAATGGAAGGAAGGAATACAGGGTGCTGCATGTCTGTGGTGTGGAAGCATATCACTGGATAAACAGGAGGAGGGTATCCAGAAAGTCTTTTTGGAAGTGGCAAGATTGAATGCCAAGTCTCAAACACATGAAAACTCTTCATTTCGTAAGAATGAGCAGGTGCATTCATGGTGGACAAAGTTTTCAAACAAATGCTTCACGTTCATGATCCCATTTCTTCAAACTTTCACCAAAAGCTGTTTTGGTTTGCAGCTGATTTGGAGGCAACAGTTTTGACACCCATGTAGCACAAAGTTTGCTCTATTTTAATTTTTTTGGAAAAGATTTATTTATTTTTTTATTGGAAAGGTAGATTTACACAGAGAAAGAGATACAGAGAAAGACCTTCCATCCACTGGTTCACTCCTCAAGTGGCCACAATGGCCAGAGCTGAGCTGATCCGAAGCCAGGAGCCAGGAGCTTCTTCTGGGTCTCCCATGTGGGTGCAGGGTCCCAAAGCTTTGGGCTGTCCTCGATTGCTTTCCCAGGCCACAAGCAGGGAGCTGGATGGAAAGTGGAGCAGCTGGGACATGAATAGGTGCCCATTTGGGATCCTGTCACATGTAAGGTGAGGATTTAGCTACTGAGCCATCAAGCAGGGCATTTCCTATTTTAATTATTTTGTTCAGAATTGTGTCAGCTCAACAATTGAGACATCTATGGTGCTGGCTATGTTTCTGCTGTTAACCATCAGCACCTCCTCAATTAGGGTGTGGACAAGGCTAACTTTGTCCTTGCAAATTCATGTGGCTGGTCTGTTGCTATTCATCCTTTTTCTTTCTTTCCTTTTTCCTTCCTTCCTTTCTTCTTTCTTTCTTCACTCCTTTTAAAAAAATATTTGTTTTTATTTGAAAGGCAGATTTACTGAGAGGAGAGACATACAGAAAGATCTTCTATCCACTGCTTCACTTCCCCAAATGGTCACAACAGGTGGAGCTGAGCTGATTAAAACCTGGGAGCCAGGAGCTTCCTTCAGATCTCCTATGTGGGTGCAGGATCCCAGGGACTTAAGCCATCCTTCACTGCTTTCCCAGACCATAAGCAGGGAGCCTGATCAGAAGTGGAGCAGTTAGGACATGAACTGGTATGTATATGGCAGCTTACAGGAAAAGGATTAATCAACCGAGCCATTGCACTGGCCCCATTTGGGCTTTATCGTAAACAATGTCTTCCCTGGTTTTAAAATGTTATCCACATATAAATGGCTGATTTTGGGGGACATTATCTCCATAAACTTCATAAAGCATCAACAATTTCACTCTTCTTCCATCTAAACTTCACCATCAATTTGATGCTTGTTCCTGCTTCAAATCTGGCCAAACTCATTTCACCACCCATATGGGCAACTTGTTATTTAATTTTTTTTTTAAGATTTATTTTATTGTCGTTACAAAGTCAGATATACAGAGAGGAGGAGAAACAGAGAGGAAGATCTTCCATCCAATGATTCACTCCCCAAGTGATCACAACGGCTGGTACTGCACCGATCCAAAGCCAGGAGCCAGGGACTTTTTCCAGGTCTCCCACACAAGTGCAGGGTCCCAAGACTTTGGGCCATCCTTGACTGCTTTCCCAGGCCACAAGCAGGGAGCTGGATGGGAAGTGGAGCTTCTGGGATTAGAACTGGCACCCATATGGGATCCTGGCACGTTCAAGGTGAGGACTTTAGCTGCTAGGCCACGGCGCCGGGCCTACAACTTGCTGTTAATATTGACTTATTATTTGAACAGCAAAGAGGCAGAGAAAGAGAGGGAAAAAGAGAATTAAAAAATGATCTTCCATCTGTTGGCTCACTCTTCAGATAGCCATAATACCCAGAACTGGGCCAGATCAATGCCAGGAGTTTCTACTGGCCTCCCAGATGAATGGCAAGGGGCCAAGCACTTGGGCATCTGCTTTTCTAGGCATATTAGCTGGAAAAGGAGCAGCTGGGACTTGAACCAGCGTCCATATGGGATCCCAAATCATAGGCGGCGGCTTAACCTACTACATTATGATGCCAGCTGAGGGCCTCTTTTCAAACCAATGCCTTATCCTTTCTAGTATCTCAAAGTAGATCCTGTTCAGATATGTTAACTTAGAGTTTATTTTGGTGCAAAAATTTTCGAAATCTGCAGTTTTTTCGCAACATAAATTCCCACAAACTTTAAGAATCTGTGTATGAGGGCACACTTCTATTTATATTTTGCCACAAATTTTTATTATTTTTGTTTTGTTTTGAAAAGGGGAGGGAACGAAAAAAGAGGGAAAATTCCTATCACTGGCTTACTCTGTAAGTGTCTGCAATGGTTGGGCCTTGAACGGGCCAAAGCTGGGAGCCATAAAATCAATCCAGGTACTCATGCAGGCAACAAGAATCCACTTGATCCATCACAACTGGTTGCTGGAGTCAGTATTAGCAGGAAGCTGGAGTCAAAAACCAGAGACAGAGCTGAACTGACATCCTCCAACATGGAATACAAGTGTCCTAACCAGTAGGCTAAAAACCCACTCCCTACAGTGATTTTCAAAACTAGGAGGTATGAAATTTTATCAATGCCCTTTTTAGCTCTATTAAGAAGCTTCTGATTTTTCTCACCTGACCTATTAAAGTACAGAGGCCCAAAGCTCCATTCCTATCTACTACTTGGATGGCTGGGGTTCAAGTACTAGGGCCATTATCTGCTGCCTCCCAAGGATGTGTATTAGCAGATCAGAAGCTAAGCAGCTGGGATTTGAGCCAAACTCTCAGATTGGAGCTGCCAACTATCCATTCCAGGCTTTGATAATTTTAATACAGCTAGTAGGAAATCAGCCTTAGGCCTTCCAACCAAAGGGGAGGAATCTTATTTCAAAGATATCATAAAATGAGCAGTGAAGGAAGAGGCCAAGTCTAATTTTATATGTACATCTTCTCTCCTTCCTGTAAGAATGCTAACTTGATAAATGCTTGAAAGAGGAGTTTGAAACAAAAATAGATTTATTAAAAGTCTTCCTCTTTATATGTTCTAATGATCCTCAAACTTATTACGAGTGGTAAGATTGGGAAATCAGCCACTGTATATATCATGTAGAGAGGCATTAGTTTGGGAATGAACAGTTTGAAAATATCTTAAAATATGGAAAGACTCAAATATTTTTGCTGTTATTTATCACACACACAAAGGGTGACTGGACCGGTCCCTGCTTTCCTGTTCAAGCATACCTAAATCTATTAAGCTGGAAGCTTTTAGAAATGCTTCACTAGGTTCTGTTTATTGTCTTAATGACTTGACTGTAATATTTTTATAAGCTATTGATTTTCAGCTTCAAATAAAAATTGTAAATGACTAAAACAGTTTTATTTTTGTTGAGGCTGATTAGCTAGAAAAGGGGTGGGGGTGATGCACTTGAGGAGGCTCGGGCTTGCTTGTGAGCCCTCACACTTAGCCTTCTTGCATGCTGGGAGAGAATCTTCCTCCTCTTCTGCTGCCCGAGGTTTTTTCACCGTGGAAATGATTCCAAAAGCAGTTTTTCTGGTTTCTGTAAAACAAACGGGAAAACCACAGTGCTTGAACTCAAGATACAATTATTTTAAAAGATTTATTTTTATTGGAAAGTCAGATATACAGATAGGAGGAGAGACAGAGAGGAAGATGTTCCGTCTGTTGATTCACTCCCTAAGCAGCCACCAATGACTGGAGCTGCGCCAATCTGAAGCCAGGATCCTGGAGACTCCTCCGGTCTCCCAAATGAAAACAGGGTCCCAAGGCTTTGGGCCGTCCTCGACTGCTTTCCCAGGCCACAAGCAGGGAGCTGGATGGGAAGTGGAGCTGCCAGGATTAGAACTGGCGCCTCTATGGGATCCTGGTGTGTGCAAGGCAAGGGACTTTAGCTGCTAGCTATGACACCCCAAGGTATAACTTTTTAAAAGAGATCGCTTAACAAATACCACCACACCGACTTACACTTTAAAATAATAAAATCAAAGTGGAATTCTATGGAAGCTGACATCATTCACTGTCATCCTATTTTTTCTTTACACACACAGGTATCAGTGTATTATTAATATATTGATATATAATACCTTGCTAAGGGTTCTCTCCAGGCTAACATTCTATGGCAAGCTATGTCTCGACTGTCTGTCGGCAGTACCATGTGTAGCAGACACCAAAGTTCCAAACATCAGTGCAGCAGAGGCTTTCTGTATGGCGGAAATGCTGACAAACTGAGAGCGTCAACATGGCAGCCGGCTGCACTGATCCCATCACCAGAGGAGTGCCTGCCTCATCTCCACAGCATGTATCCGATTCCTCTCAGCAGACCATCAACGCACCTCTGAAATACCGGTCATGCCGAACTGCCCAAACCCCGCCACAGCCGAGTTACGTACATGTGTTCTTTAAATACTTGTCGAAACAGTGAGTCAGGTCAAACTCACACATATGTATTGCTTTTATATACTCACGACAATGGGCAAGGTAAGAAGAGGATTACTAGATTCTTACATCCAGTTGGCAGAAGAACTTAAACTCGGCAGATTTCTACTCTGAACCACAGTGTGTCACATACAGAGGATATGACAACATCTTACAGGCCTTTTTGCTATAACACACTGACATAAGCATGTTAAGACCAAGTATGGAAGGAGCCGAAGCATCCCCCCCCAGAGTTAATTGCCTGTATCGATCAGTGAGGCGTCACACAAAGGCGATAGATAACTAGGCAAAGGAAACCAGCCGCCAGGGGAGGGCAGGAGAAGAAAGGGTGGTAAGGAGGACCCCCCGAAGGATGGCTGGAGGACGTGTGAAGTAGTAACAGAGGCTGGAAGGGTAGCTTAGGAAAGGTCCCCCCCCCCCCCGGCATGAAAAACAAACATGTCAGGTAAAGAGTCAAATCTGGTCCTTAGGACGGTGAAAGGAATTATGGAGAAGAGATACTCACTACCCACAAAAGGGGCAGAGCTGCGGTGGCGTTGTGATGCAGCACGTTAAGCTACCATTTGCAATGCCGGCTTCCCACATGGGCACCAGTTTAAGTCAGGGTCACTCGGCTTCTAAATCAGTTCCTTGCTAATGTGCCCAGGAAACCAGTGGAAGATGTCCAAAATGCATGAGGCCTGGCACCCATATGAAAGACCCAGAAAAAGCTCCCTGCTGAGCCCAGTGTGGTAGCCTAGCGGCTAAAGTTCTTGCCTTGAACGTGCTGGGATCCCATGTGGGCACTGGCTCGTGTCCTGGCAGCACTGCTTCCCATTCAGCTCCCTGTTTGTGGCCTGGAAAAGTAGTTGAGGATGCCCAAAAGCCTTGGACCCTGCACCTGCATGGAAGACCCGGAAGAAACTCCTGGTTTCAGATCAGCTCAGCTCTGGCCGTTGCAGCCACTTGGGGAGTGAATTAGTGGACAGAAGATCTTCCTCTCTATATATCTGACTTTCCAATAAAAAAAAAAAAGAAAGCTCCTGGTTTTAGTGCAGTCCTGCCCTGGCAGTGGAAATCATTTAGAGTGAAACAGGAGATGGAGATTCCTTCTTCCTCTCTCTTCGTAATTCAAAAAAAAAAAAAAAAAAAAAAAAAAAGGCACAGTTAAAAGAACTTGATGAATAGAAACTTAGTTAAGAATTTTCCATTTGGGGGAAGCTGGTGCTGTAGCTCAACAGGCTAATCCTCCACCTTTAAGCGCTGGTATCCGATATGAGTGCCAGTTCATGTCCTGGTTGCTCCATTTCTGATCCAACTCCCTCCTTATAGCCTGAGGAGGCAATGGATCAAAGCCTTGGGACTCTACATTGCGTGGGAGACCCAGAAGAACTTGGCTCCTGGCTTCAGCTCAGTTCAGCTCTGGCTTGTTGTAGTCATTTGAGGAGTGAACTAGAGGATGAAATATCTCTCTCTTTGCCTTACTTTCTCTCTGTTAATCTGCCTTTCAAATAATGTTTTTTTTTTTTTAAAGAATTTTCTTATGTGAAGTAATAGAAGTGAAATAAATTCTGAAAGGGTAAGCATTGCCTTTTAAACAGCTTAAGTGAGTTTATCAGGTGCACTGAATCTGCCAGTTGTTACAACACCTTAATTCTTAATTAAAATGCCTACACAATAAGAACCTCAAAATAGAAATTATCTACGATTTCCATTCCACTAACTGAAAAATGCCACATGTATAGGTACTATTTATAGAAATGTGACTCTGAGAATGATCCACAAATCAGCTGAATGAAAACCAATTACAAAAAATGTGAAGCCAGTTCTTTGTTGTAATAAAATGCTTCCATCTGAGTTCTAGGGATGGAATTCAGCGTAGCAGTTCAGACTCTCCTTGGGACTCCTACATTCCAGGCTGGAGTGCTTGGGGTGGATTCCCGGCTCCACTCTGGATTTCAGCTCTTGTGGACGTGCCCCCTGGCAGGCAGCGGGCAACGGGCGATGGTCCCAGAGGCTGAGTCTCTGCCATCCAGTGGCAGAGCAGGACAGAGCTCATGGCTCCTGGGTTCAGGCTGGCTCAGTCCTGATGACTGCAAATATTTAGGGGAATAAATCATTGAGCAGAAGTTGTGTCTTTGTCTCTGCCTTATAAATATATACAATTTTTTCAAGTTAAAAAAAAAAAATCTTAGCTCCATTTTATAAATGTTCTCTTATGTTTAGCTACTCTTTAAGCTCAGCTGACAGGATACAAGGGCGATCTGGCTGTGACATCTGTCACTCTCCCTGATAGCCAGGGTTGACACAGCTGATCAGGTCTGTCCCACAGGTGTCCCCCTCAACGCCACGCGCTTGACTGAAGAGGACGACCTTCGCTGCTGGAGGAAGGCAGGTTTTTGGTCAAGGGCATACAGCAGCTGCACCCTCCACTGCTAGAACCTCCGAACAAGCTCCTAAGCAAAGCTGACAGATTAAAGAAGTGAATGAGACTTTTACAGTTATCAAAACCACTCTTTTAAACAGTAAATCTGTGATTGTCTTTTGTAACAGCAAAAAGTTATATTTAAGATGTCAGCTTATAAGGTGTTTTCATGCACAACGTTTCCTTTAACAATCCTGCCAAGAAAAACCAGTTCTACAGTTACATTTTATGAATGGACCTATTTTGTTCATAGGGTATTGAGGTGCTGGAACAGGTACATTTTGGTGCAAAGGCTGCTGGAGGACAGCAAACCTCATCAATCACAGACCAAAGACCTGATGACCTCAAGCTCTTCCTCTATTTTGTCCCCGAAACTCCTTCTGTATTGCTATTCATGGGTTTTTGGAACTCTATAGGATATAATTCAGATTCCCTGTGGCAAGCCAGCTGCCTATTACACAGCCCAAAATGCATGTTTTCCAAGTAACAATTCCCATACTCCATTCAGCAGCCTCTCTCAAGATGAGACCCTTTAGAGAGCCAGCAGCAGCTTCTGGTAGTGCTCCAGTGCATGGCCACCCTTAAGTGTCCAGTAGATGATGTAGGAGCCGGCTGAGATTTCATCAGTAAGAATAACAAGAATTCGAATCCTTTTCCTTTAGAATCCCCTCCTTTTTCTTTTAACGTAACCTAAGCTCAATCAGCAATCTTACAAAGGCATCAAAATCCTGCCTCATTCTGATCTTAATGTCAACTAAAACCAGGGTAATTGTAACGTGTTATCACGAGTGAGACACTTTTCAGGAAATAAGAGTGTTAATTTACAGAAACAGCACAAGTTGTTACAGAAACAAACAAGCTGGACTAGCTCAGGCAAGCTGTGGTGGATGGAACGACACCTCTAGTCCAAGGTCGTTTCTAGTGTAACTTCTATAAAAACCTGACTTTATGAATGGTTGAGGTTTTAAAACCCAAATTCAGGATTTCATATCTACCCCTACTTTCTTTTCTTGTTTGTTCTATTTTGGAACATCACTAGTTATCTAAAGTCTTTTAAATAAAAATAATGGGAGAACTTCCAAAATGTGAACCAACTATGCCCTAAAGAAATTTTTTAAATCCCGAATAATTTTATCTTTCCAAACTTTAGTGGCAACGTCTACATAATGCAGAAATTTCAAGCTAAAAATGTTGAAACCAAAATTAAAACATCTAATTAGTATAAATAATATACTAATAGAATAAACGGTTCTCTTAAAATCCAGGCACATTAGCCCTCAATAACCTACCTATTTTTGTGGTAAATAACAGTTCTAAATGCAGCAATCTCTCCTTAGTTTTTTTTTTTTTTTTAAGAATTTATGTATTCACTTGAAAAGTAATGTAACAGAAAAAGAAACAGAAATTAATCTTCTATTTGTTGGTTCACTCTCCAAATAGATGCCATGGCCAGGACTAGGTCAGAATGATGACAGGTGCCTTAAATTCCCATCCAGCTCCTTCATCTGCTAGCTTCCACCCCAAATGGCCACAACAGCTGGAGCTGAGTTGATCTGAAGCCAGGAGCCAAGAACTTCTTCCTGGGCCTTCCATGTGTGTGCAGGGATCCAAGGACTTGAGCTGTCCTAGGCTATTTTCCCAGGCCATAAGCAGGGAACTGGATTGGAAGTGGAGCAGCCAGGAAATTAACCAGTGCCTACTGCTGCTTGCAGGTGGAGGACTATCCTGTTGAGCCATGGCAGCAATGCCAAAATGACAGACTTGTAACATGAGCATTCAGTGTTGATCTGAACATTCACTCACCTCCATGGAGAAGCACTGCTCGGCAGTTGGTGGACACAGCAGCCTTGCCATCACTTTCAGAGAGTCCAAACAGCAACCCTCTATGAAGCCATTAAAGATTTTAACCCAGAGTTGGTCAACTTCACAGGATGGGCGGAGATAACGGAAACCGCCAGCAATCTAAGAGAGCTTGATTAATTCCACAACAGCTCCTTGCCCTGTGGGCAAGGAGAAACTGATTTAACTCTAAGCTTTATATTGTAGAGTGCCTTATTGCCCCCTTCTAGCTCAGGCTTCACTGAAAATTAGAATGAAGTCCTTCGCCAACTGATGTGTTTCTAATAACTGACATGAAAAAGCTGAGAAAAACAATGTGATAAAATCTAACAACATTTCAAATTCCAAATTTCCTGAAAATGCCAAGAACTTACTCAGAAAAGGATACAAATTTGCTATGTCATATGGTCCTCTTATTTCTAAAGGCTAAAATAAAGGAAAAAATAGATATGACAGGTTATTCATAACATTTCCTTGACTTAAGTTGCATACTCCAAAATAACGAAGTCAACTGCACACATTTCAGCTTTTACCATTTTTATGGATTTTATAAGCTTTCAAAAATATAAATGAACCTTACGAAGCACTATATAGCAGCCTTAAAGAAAACTAATTTCTGAAAAGGCCAACCCAAAACAAATGGGCTAAATTCCATTCTTTAGCAATTATAATGAGCTAATGTACAGTTGGAATAGAGAATACATTACTGTTGGCATTTCTCCCTAGAAAATTCTATAACTTTAAAAAATTCCAAATATGTGTTTCAAGCTAGACTTACCCTTTCAGCAGCACTGGATATAATTACATTCTGAAAAACAGAGAGTATTTAGTATCAGTCTTAGATAAATGTAAAAGAAAACTGACAAGTGTCGTGGTATGAGTGATGAATACCAGTCAGTGAACTTTCACATTTTAAGGCTGAAATCCCCACTGCTTTTAAAGATAAGGTAAATAAAGTGAAAACAAAAGAGATTTCATGACAGAAAATCACAAGAGGCTTTCCAAACAAAGCCTGGTGATGATGAATTAAGTTTAAAAACTAGCCACAGTGGTTAGCCACTCTAATTCAACTCACTGATGACAAACAACTCTTATCTAGATTATTCCTTTCATAGTAGTTAAATTTAAGATTCCGTATTAAAGGACAAAGGCTTTCAATACATCCATCTCATCCATCTTATTTTCTCCTTGACATTTTTTCTTTTAAAGTTTACAGTGCTCATTGAAAGAACAGGTTCCCACGCCTTTAGAGCTCTCTGTTTCAACTGATCAGTTTCACACTTCCAGTACATTGATAACAGTAAACTGCCACACAGAAAACCCGTCCTACAGGTACCATACCTTTCCTTTGCAGATCTGCATCAGATTGAGTGCATTGGAAATCGTGTACCTTCTTATTGTGGAGTCTTTGATAGCAGGGCCATAGACAAGCTCAAAGGCCAGGCCTCGGTCAATCGCCTTCACAGGAAATAAAGAAAATAAATGGTCATGGATAAGCATTTTTCTATTTCATCTTCACTCACTTCCCTCACCCGCTACATGTCAAAGCACAGCTTTACACAAAGGCAGATTTACACCTAAATGCCATTTATAAAGAAAAACAGGCCTTGGGCACTACTGTATCAAGAGTTTTCCTTAACGTCGGGGAAATTGTCTTTATTTGACAGGAATGAGGGGGAGGCTAAGGAGGGCTGAGTTCATGCAGGGTGGCAGAGAACCCACTGCTCTTTGAGCTACCTAAAGCAATGGTGGGGAACTTCCCACCAGCAGGCACTGTGAGCCCTGCAAAGCCATTTGGTCTGGTCATCATAAGGCGACTGCAGGTACGACTCAAAATCTAACAAATCTATAGCAAGCTAATGTTTAAATTGATACATGACTTGTAAATTATGGATCTTTAAAAATTATTTACTTGAAAGAGTGACAAAAAAGGGGAGAAACATAGAAAGACATTTCCCATCCATCGGTTCATTCCTTTTTTTTTTCTTGTTATGAAAAATTTATTCAGATGGACACAATAGCACAGACCTAAAACATCTCTCTTTATGTGAAAGTCTGTGAGATCAGAATACCAGGCCTACAAAAAGTGTGGAAATACAAAATGTAACAGTGGTAACTGACAAAATGCAAAGCTCTGGAAATGGTTTATTCCTCAAATGGCTACAACTACCAGGCGGAAGACAAGATCCTGAAATTCCATATACGTCTCCTAAGCTGACACAGGAGCTGAAGCACTTGGCGCATCTTGCACAGCCTTCCCAGACACATCCGCAAGGAGCTGGACCGGAAGTGGAGTAGCCAGGCTTGAACCAGTAAGGGACGTTGGCATCACAGGTGAGGACTTAACCCACTGGCCCACAATATCAGCCCTGTAGAATGTTATAAATATCCAAACTCCCCCGGCCAGGAAAAAAGTTTCCCCACCCCTGACCCTGAAGGAAAACAGAGATGTGCTGCCTATACTTGGGGAAGCTGTATGCAAGAGAGCAAACCTGGAAATGTGATCTAAGAAAGAAGAAAAAGAAATGAAGAGCTGGAAAAAGCCTGAAGTAGGTAAGTACTAATGGCATATAAGGTCAACAGAACAGCCACAGCCTTGGTGAACTGGATATGATCAGGAGCTGAGGCATTATGTATGTAACAGTGACTCCTTGAGACGTCTTAGCAGGGGGCGTTAGCTTCCCAGTTACCTGTGCTTCCCCTTTTCTTTAGTAACAAGCCTTTGATTTTTAGCTGGGTTTGCAAAGGAAGATGGAAGCCTGGCCCTGGATAATTTTGCCCAGGTCACCATAAAAGCATGGACTTTCTGATGAGGAAAAGAAACTTCTTATTTAATGTATGTTTTTCTTTAAGAATTTTGTTTTTAAATTTAATTGGAAAGGCAGATTTGCAAAGGGAAGGAGATACAGAAAAGATCTTTCATCTGCTGGTTCACTGGCCAAGTGGTCACAACAGCCAGAACTGAGCTGATCCAGAGCCAGGAGCCAGGAGCCTCTTCCAGGTCTCCCATGAGGGTGCAGAATCCCAAGGCTTTTGGACTGTCTTCTTCTGATTCCTAGACCCTTGTGGGGACCAGATCAAAACAAAAACTCATTTTATTATTTTGAAAGAAACAACTTATTTTGATGTTAATATCTTTTTTTTTTTTTTTTAAATTGGAAAGGCAGATATACAGAGAGGAGAGACAGAGAAGAAGATCTTCCGTCTGATGATTCACTCCCCAAGTGAGCGCAATGGCCAGTGCTATGCTGATCCGAAGCCAGGAGACTCTTCCGGGTTTCCCATGCGGGTGCAGGTTCCCAAAGCTTTGGGCTGTCCTGGACTGCTTTCCCGGGCCACAGGCAGGGAGCTGGAAGGGAAGCAGGGCTGCCGGGATAAAACTGGCACCCATATGGGATCCCGGGCATGCAAGACGAGGACCTTAACCACTTGCACCACCGTGCCAGGCCCTGATGTTGATATCTTAGCAAGTTCACTTTGAAACTGCTAAGAAAATTTTTGAGAAAAAATTTTACCGAGGGTTGTGAATATTCTTTAACAGCACCTTGTATTTTCAGATGGTCCTACTTCTAAGACCATTTTCATGGAATGTTGCCTTGCCATCAAAAGATTGCTCAAAAAGCAGACAGAGCTTGCCTGATTGGCTTTTGTTCCATGTCTGATCAAAGGTTCTAAAACGGGCGGATCGCCAGGTTTCTTTACTAATGGGAAGTAACAGTTTTAAAGATGTTGCCAAGAGCAGGTGTGTGACACGTGAATCAAGAGAAATTGGAATATAAAATTCCAAGCACTATTCAAAGCTTCAGAAAAAGAAAATAGGGAGTTGATTACAGGACTTCCTGCTAATTTCTTTAAAAATTAGTGTATCAGTTTTGAAGATAGGTGATTCATTCCCACGATTCACAAATCAAAGCATCATCAACAAAAATAACAAAAATTAAGGAGCTTCACGTGCCCTGTCCTTATTTCCATAATTATTTTTGTTGATTTCTTGTGCTTTCTTCCAGAATTGCATCTTACAAATATAAGCAACAGAATCATCACCTAGATAGCTAAGATGAGCTTATATTGGAGTACATTAGTCCTCTTCCAGTGTGGATGGTGTCCTTGTCAGAAGATGGCCATGTGAAGATACAGAGACACTCAAGGAACAAAGACAAACTGGAATTATGTGGCTATAAGCCAGAATCACAAGACTGCTGGTAAATCACCAAAAGCTAGGCAGAGACCAGGAAGGACTCCCTTACAGCTTTCAGAGAAACATGAGCCTGCTGACATCTGACTTCAGAGTGAAACAGAAAAACTTGAGTTCTTTTAAGCCAATCCAGGAAACCAATATATCATGCAGGGGGGTCAATATATCTGTATTTTAATAGTTGCTGCCAAATTATGCCACAAGATTTGTCCCAATTTACCGTGTTATAAGCAAAGCTAACAGAGTGACTGCCTTCTCACTGCCTTCCAACAGAGTGCACCTCCCTTGAGGAGAGCAATTTTGCTTTTTAAAATAGTACACGGGCAGTTAATGTTATATAGACAGCTGGCATATTTTTTCCCCCTCATTTTATTTGAAATGTAGAGACAGATGAAGATGAAGGGACATCTCCCATCAGTTGGCATACTTGCTAAATGTATGCAGCAGCCAGGGCCAGGCCAGGAAGACACGAGGAACCAACGACTGATTCTGGAACTCTGCGTCACTGGAAGGACTCAACTATTTGGGCCGTCATCTGCTGCTTCCTAGTGTGCACTCTGGCTGCAGGCTATGATACCAAGCAGAGCTGGAATTTAAATCAGGTATTCCATTGAAGGAGACGTGAAATGTGGCTATTCCAAGCGACATCTTAACAACAGTACCAAATGAATGCCTGTCCTTCCGATGGGTGGTTCTGATATGAATTTGTCTTACTATACATAAATAAAGCACTTTTTGTATATTTGAGGATCACCTGTATTTTCTTCCCTTTGAAATATCTTCTTAACATTATTGACCCCTTTCTTGGTATTGCTCATCCTCCTGTTCAGCCAGGAGTTCTCTAAATGTTGAGGGGATTAACCTTTCGTCTGTGATGTAAGTGCAAATGTTTTCAACAGCTTGTCATTTGTCTATTAATTTTGTTTGTTTGCCACAAAGAAGTTTCTGATTCTGGCAAATACTCTGGTACTCATGGGATCACTGACAAAATACTTAGCGCATGTAAGTTCAGGATCCATGTGCTGAAAATGGCAGTTTATAGAAAATTCACACTCAGATCAAGCATATACTTGTGCAGTGTTAATTCCTGGAACCACTGTGCTGCTTTACACACTACTCACTAGACATTTCTCTATGGGGACTAACTGGACCCTGAAGGCAGAAATAGGTTAAGGTTAAAGGAAGTGCTGGGCGAAATATAAGAGTGTGAAGCACAATCACTGGGCCTGGTGCGGTGGCTCAATTGGCTAATCTTCCACCTCCTCCTGCTGGGATCCTATATGGGTATTGGTTCATGTCCTGGATGTTTGAATTCCCACCCAGCCCCCTGTTTGTGGCCTGGGAAAAGCAGTTGAGGACGGCCCAAAACCTTGGGACCCTGCACCCGCGTGGGAGACCCGGAAGAAGCTCCTGGTTCCTGGCTTTGGATTGGCTCAGCTCTAGCAGTTGAGGCCATTTGGAGAGTGAATCAGAGAATGGAAGATCTTTCTGTCTCTCCTCTTTATAAATCTGACTTTTCAATAAAAATAGATAGATTTTAAAAAATCACTCAAAATAACCCTCAATAAACCTACTATCACTGTTGAAAGGAAATGGCAGTATCCACAGAAGCAAAGTAAAGATAAGCCCCTTTTGGAGACAGTCCTTCTTAATATCTGAATTCATAAAATGATATTTTTAAGCATGAAATTATCCTGCACTTAACAGAGTTTTATTGTAAAGCCACCTTGAATAGCATTTCCAAACAGGAAATGAGAGTAAATTAGGAAATCACGCTTGAGTGCAGATCTCTAGCCAATCCTTAGGGACACTTAACTGGGAACCATAAACTACCTCGGACCCAATTCCATGGTTTGTATACGGATATAAGTAACATCTACTCCACTTCATCATAGATCATAGCAGGTATAAATATACTTGAACTACAAAGTGGTAAATATTTAGAAATGACTCCAAAAACAGGAGCTGAATCTAATTCTTTATACCCAGCTATCACATGATTTGGTTGAGATTTCTGCATTAGCTACTTCAAACTCTAGAGGAAGGATTGTAGAAACTGTATAATTCAAAATACGGTGCCCTGAGTAGGTGGTAGAGATGACAAAAGGTGTGAGTGCTGTAAATTATACAAATGGAATTCTTTGGTTTTGCCCCAGCTCCTGTGCCCCATATTAGCCCAGTCTCCTGAGCTGACAGTTAACAGTAACTTCTGACCTAGAGGCAAGAGGCTAAGTGAGTCACTCCCACTACCACCACAATACAAGAACAATGCATATAACAATGCATTGTATTCTTATGTGCCCAAATAAGTGATCCTCATGAAACCAACCCATCAACTTCTAATGGTCAAAGACAAGTTTAACTCTAAAATCACCGGAGCATGCAAGAAACAATTAAGACTGAACAGGTCCAGCATGGCTCAATGGCTAAATTCTCACCTTGCAAGTGCCAGGACCCCACAAAGGTGCCAGTTTGTGTTCCGGCTGCGCCACTTCCCATCCAGCTACCTGCTTGTGGCCTGGAAAAGCAGCAGAGGATGGCTCAATGCTTTGGAACCCTACACCTATGTGGGAGACCTGGAGGGGTATCCTGGTTTCAGATTGGCCCAGCTCCAGCCATTGCAGCCATTGGAGAATGAGCCAGCAGATGGAAGATCTTTCTCTCTGTCTCTCCTTCTTTCTGTAAATCTGATCTGCCTTCCTAATAAAATCAATTTTAAAAAAGAAAGACTGAACTGATGCATTTTCCATACTTGCATTGTGATTACAATGATACTTCAAAAAGTTTGTGAAAAAAAAAAAAACTGAAAAAATGCACGGGATTCAACACCTTCTCCATCAAAATAAATTTATCTTTCCATTCATTTTCCCTCAACTTTTAAGTACCCCATACATTCCCATACTTAAGTACTCATACACAGAGCCATATTTAGAATATTATTATCAATAATACCTACATAACCATAAACAATTATCCTGCCTACTAAAGAACAAGCTGGATATATGTACGTTTCCAACTTTCTTTTTTTAAAATGAAAAACAGGTAAATGAATTCACAAGGACTTCTGCTTTCTGTCCAATTCACAAAACAGACTGTTTCAATCTTAGGTGAAAATTAAAAATAGTTCTTCCTTCCATTTTATCATTTAGCCTTTATTAAACAAAATAGATTAAACATCCACTCACACCAATCTTTTTTTTTTCAAAAAAAAAAAGATTAAATACTGCATATTCCTCCCACTTATCATGTTCAGTCAAAAATGCCCATCAAACAGTAGCTTTCCTGCATTGCCAGGTGGAGTAGGGGATGGGATGCTCTAGCGGGGCTGTCCTGAGTGCAGACATACAGTGAACTGCCACATCTTTTCATGTGCTCAAGGATGCCTGTACAATCCACTGCACAGGCTTCCTGCCCCAATGCTGACAACCAGTTCATGATTAACAGAAAGGACAATTTGGTGGCATTTCCCAAGCTGTACCTTAATGAGACAGACATATACTCAAACCAATTGAATGATTTTAGGGAGCACTCATTGTACACAAAATACTGCAATCACTCAAAGAACTATGACATAACTGGTCCCCTCCAGAAGCTCACGTTCTGATTTGAACAGTTAGACACGTTCACAAGAAAATCCAATAAAACCCTCACCAAAAAGCCACTGAGAATCTTAGCACCGTGATGGGATATGGCAGGTTGTGTGCTGTGCACAGCTGTCTGTTTCTGCTTGGCTTTAGCAGCGCTTGTTACTATCTCCTCCCAACCAAGGACAGAGTATCAGGTGTGGACTTACTCAGGCCAAGCCGTCTAGACAAAGATCTTCCTAGTTCATTAAGGTGAAGAAAAAGTCATGTACTGGGAGCAGTAGCCTAGTGGCTAAAGCCTTTGCCTTGAACGCACTGGGATCCCATATGGGCACCGGCCCATGTCCCAGCAGTCCCGCTTCCCATTTAGCTTCCTGCTTGTGGCCTACAAAAGCAGTCAAGGATGGCCCAAAGCCTTGGGACCCTGCACCTGCATGGGAGACCTGGAAGAGGTTCCAGTCTCCTGGCTTCAGATTGGCTCAGCTCCAGTTATTGCGGCTGCTTGGGGAGTGAGTCACTGGACGGAAGATCTTCCTCTCAGTCTCTCCTCCTCTCTGTATATCTGACTTTGTAATCAAAATAAATAAATCTTTAAAAAAAAAGTCATAAGTAGAACAACCATCTGTTGAATGGCTGCACTGCATACCCTGGGGATGCTGTTTATTTTAAAACCCAGGTTAGCATTTGAGGCTGGTGAAAGCTTTGACAAGCTTCTGAGGACAAGAGAGTGCTGCTATTTCTGGACAGGAACACAGGGGAAGACCAAAAGACAGTCACACATGTGGGTACTGTCTTCGTTTACTGCTTTTATCAATAGGCACGGTGGGTGTATCAGACATCTATCTGACAGTTAATCAAAATTGCCTTAATCTTCTATCCAAGGAGCTGAATAACTTCTTGGTAGTCTTAATTTCCAAACACTTGCTAACTAATTGTTGAACAATGCAGATCTCTAATTCTCGAATGTGAGGATTCAGGCACTTTCTATTATTTACCGATTTATTTCGAAGTCCTGGCAACAACAAGGGGAAGCAATGACTGGAGCATCTGAACATTGGTATTTGTTCAGTAGTAATCTCCATATTTACCAGAAAAGAGCTGTTTTAAGTTTTTCCTTTAAATGTATAACTGTTTTTGGCACTTTTCAAGCATGATTTTAATAGTGCATCCATACTGAATTCAATTTTTATGCATCATATATGTCAGTTTTCTTTCTTCACTGCCTTCACTTAATTCTCAACATTGATCCCTTAGCGGCAGAGAAACAAAAATTTAGGTTATGATTCCATATAAACAAAAAGCGTTTTCACATACTTCCATACTTCAAAAAGTGTTTTCACAGGTTTAATTTTCCAATTCTGACAGGATCAGGCATGTAATCTGAACCATGCTAAACTTCTTTTCCTTGGATAGTAGGTTCTGAACAGGAGACTCAGTAAACCATTCCGGAAGCGACTGTTCTGAAATGGTACCCTAACAGCTGCTAGGATCTGAGTGGCAAAGCAAGCACTTAACAGCTATAGTGACCTCATAGCTACAAAAATCGTCACGGGTGTGAAATACTGTCACCTTCATAATACACACGGAAGGGAGTGCAGACTTAGAACAAGGTGTGATGGATGGAAGATGAAAGAAAGCTATGAAGGAAGGTCACGAAAACAACACAGCAGCGGGAGACAAGCCTCCCTGGACACATGGTTGCCCACGGACTTGTGTATGAACCACCATGCTTCAACTCAGATTTTAGTCTTGCACTGAGCATGCCTAAGTGATTACCTGTTTTTCCACATTCTCTCCCTTCTTAGTACGTGGAAGCCTCAGAGAACTTTCCGTGTTAAACTGCTCTTTGTATCTTCTTTTGATTATCTTCTTAATGCCCAATGTAAGAGTTGCAGTACTCATCATTATAAGCTATCTCTTAAGAAATACCCTTTATACAGTTAAAGTACCTGTTGGCATTTGGCCCAGCAGTTAGGGCACCTGTGGGCGCTCTACACTGTCACACTGGTGTGCCTGGGTATGAGTCCTGGCTCCATTCCTGATTCTAGTTTCTTTCCAGTGCACCCCTTGGGAGGCAGCAGTGATGGCTCAAACAGTTCCAGACTGCTGGAGTGGGATCCCAGCTTCGGCCTAGCCCAACCCTGGCCACCGTGGGCATTTGGAAAGTGAATCCAGTAGGTGGGAACTGTTTATCCCTGCGCCTGCTTCTCAAAAATAAATAAATAATTAAAAAAAATAAATGTCCTTCATAAGTTTTAGTTTCTAACGTCTTTCAAAGACAAACTAATAACTTATTGGATATTTCTTCTTTTAAGCTTTCATTCTCTCTTCAGTCAGTTCATAAAAAACAAACTCTTTTCTAAGAAGATGCCCCATCACTCAGCTTTTACTTTTCCCTCAAAGAACACTGGTTCTTTCTGCTCATTTTCCAATTTGCTCCTGCAAATCTCTCCAGATCCACAATAAGATGGAAAGTGTTAACACTTACCACATTAATAGGGGGTCTTTTGAAGTAAAATGGTAGTTTCTCTGCCACAGTGATGCAGACCAAATCCACATCCAAATGTGTGCAAGCCACCTGTCAACAAGAGAAAATAGGTAAGGCCAAAAGGAAAGCTGGCACAAGATCGATGGAGAGAAACACGAACAGGCAAGGGTCCCTATGCAGGTGTCCCGTTGTGGCAGTGCGGTGCTGAAATCCATCTGAGCCTTTACAGACTCAGCTGCCAGTCTTCCTTCAGGCAAGGTCTGCAGTCTGACTGACCAAGCTACTGCAGACTGACATGTCTGTAGCCTTCTCAAAGACAGGAGACTGTATAACTCCCAGGGTCTTACAGAGGGATGGATTGATGAGTGAGCCTCAGTTTCAATGACATGACTTCGGATGGTTCCAGAATGAAGAAACTGACTGTTCCGAAATCTAAGAAGTCAAAAGGAATTGTTGCAGGGTCCGCTGGTTCCACAAACTACTGAGCACCTTTGTGCCAAGAACTGTCCCAGGCCCGTGCAGCTGAAGAGAAATCAGCACAAATGGCATTCTATGCAAATTCTAATAGTCTACACAAAAGCTAAAGCAGTCATTACAAACCATGCAATCAATATGGGTTTTTTAAAATTCATCACTGCCCTTTCCTTGGCTCTATTTTTTGCCATTATTTGTTGATTATCACTCTGCATCTACTTCTAAAGGACATCTGAGTTAAAAAGAAAAAAGACATAAAAACCAAATAAATGGAAAACTAGGGAAGCAAAACAAAAGTGGGGAAAGGTTTCTAGCATTCAGTGCAAACCAGAAGACACAGCTAGAGGTATCTCCGGCTCTGATTCTGCCATTATTCAACTTACAGTGATAAAAAGTATCAGCTGCTTTGTATTGTATTAAAAAAATGTCTTCCGGGGCCCAGTACAATAACTCAATCAGCTAATAATCCTCCACCTCCAAGCGCAGGGATCTCATATGGGTGCTGGTTCACATCCCAGCTGCTCCACTTTCCATCCAGCTCCCTGCTTGTGGTCTAGGAAAGCAGAGGAGAATCACCCACTGCCTTGGGACCCTGCACCTGTGTGGAGATTTGGAAGAAGCTCTTGGCTTTGGACTGGATTAGTTCTAGCTATTGTTGACACTTAGGGAGTGAACCAGTGGATAGAAGATCTTTCTGTCCTTCCATCTGTAAATCTGCCTTTCCAATAGAAATAAATAAATCTTTAAAAAGTCTTGGCAGGCCTGGCACAGTAGCCTAGCAGTTAGTCTTGGCTTTGCATGAGCAGAGATCCCATATGGGCACTGGTTCATGTCCCGGTGGCTACGCTTCCCATCCAGCTTCCTGCTTGTGGCCTGGGAAAGCAGTCGAGGATGGCCCAAAGCCTTGGGACCCTGCACCTGCATGGGAGATATGGAAGAGGCTCCAGGCTCCAGGCTCCCGGCTTCGGATTGGCTCAGCTCCAGCCATTGTGGCTGCTTGGGGAGTGAATCAATGGAAGGAAGATTTTCCTCTCTGCCTCTTCTCCTCTCTGTAAACCTGACTTGGCAATCAAAATAAATAAATAGTAAAAAAAACCCCAGTAAATCTTAATGAGCTAGTGAATACAGGCTCAATGAAGAAAGTTACAAGGCAGCTAAATAAGGCCCGTAGGATTGGTGCTGACAGCAGCCATTACAGGGTTGTCACATCTTGTTTCTCTTCTTTAGAATCCCTGTTACTGGTACTCACACCCAGGGCTCAGGAAGCAAGCAGCAATCTTCACATGGCTGGCTGGGTTTGTTTTTTTTTTTTTAAGATTTATTTATTTTTATTGAAAGGCAGATTTACAAAGGGAAGGAGAAACAGAAAGTTCCTCCATCTGCTGGTTTACTTCCCAAGTGGCTGCAATGTCCAGAGCTGAGCCGATCCAAAGCCAGGAGCCAGGAGCTTCTTCTGGGACTCCCATGTGTGCAGCACCCCAAGGCTTTGGACCATCTTCTACTACTTCCCCAGAGCAGAAGAAGGAAGCTGGTTGGGAAGCAGAGCAGCCAGGACACAAACTGGTACCCACGTGGGATCCTAGGCTATGGTGCTGGGCCCTGGCCGGCTAGCTTTAAGACAGTCATAGTAACTTGGTAAGTCTGAGAAGTAATGGTGTTTTGGCAGAAATACTTGACTTATATAGAATCTGCCCCATTTCAATTGTTACTGCTGTTAAACTCATGAAAGATTCATTAAACAATTTATAAAGGTGGATTAGGAAAAGTTCTGAATAGTAGCTACAACACATTCAGCTTGCTAGTCATTTTTAAACTATAAGAATAAAAAAGATTAAAAATTGAATAACACACTGTAACATGGTGATGAATAAATATGGTTTCATGGGGTGTTGAAACCAGTCCAGGGTTTGAATAGGCCTCAGCAATAGCAATCAAAAACTTAAATGGACACATCAGCACACAAAATAAAATTCTATAGCTATAAACCCTACAAAAGTTCATCAAGATACCAATCCCCAAAGACTAAACACATACACTAAATCTGTTAAACAGAGCCCATTGTATGCCAACTGGGATAAAGAAGGAGATAAACAAGTGGGATAAACACAAACCAAATGCCACTGAAATATTTGAGTACCCCAAAGATAAATGAAAAATCTTCTAAGCTTCTAGAAGGAACAAAAGAGAGCACCTAGAAAGGCATAACATCACACTTCTTCACTAAAGTAATAAGCAATATTCTCCTGAACACTGTTATCTGTTCACTTACATGAAAAAGTTTCTCAGTCTTTGGAAAAACAGCAACAATATCATACAGCCGAACCCTTGAAGAAGTTGCTCTCTAGAAATGCAAAAATAGTATTAGGATGGAATAGCAAAACACACACACACACGCACACAGAGGGACTTCTGCCTGCTGACCCAGCTATGCTACAGTTCGATCGCCTGCCACTTTAAGGTGCTGCTGACCTTGCCGCTTTGCTTGGCATGCTGGCAGGACAGACACTGCAAGCATATGAGAATTTAATCCTGAGATCCAACCTACCAATTGTCCTCCTTCCTTCCAACACTTGGTAAGTTTAACTGCATATACCAAACATTGTGTTTGAAAAATAAAAATCAAATCAGGCTGCTCTTGAAGGAGCTTGAGGTTTGTTTTTGTTGTTATTGTTGTTTTTTTAAGACTCATTTCTTTTTGAAAGTCACTGTAACAGAGCGTAGGGTGGAGACAGTTGGTTTCTCCCTAGATGGCGATAGTGACCAGCAGGCCAAGCAGAAGTCAAGAGCAAAGAGCTCCCCTAGGGTCTCCCAGGTGGCAGGGCCATAAATGCCTCAGCCACCTTCCACTGCTTTTCCCAGGCCATTGGCAGGGAGGTGAATTCTAAGCAGAATGGAAGCAGAGCAGCTGGAACACAAACCAGCACCCATACAGATGCTGGCATCACAGGGGGTGGCTTTATGTGCTGCGCTACAACCTTGGCAATGCAACTTGACATTTTTTTGAGCACCTGCTGTATGCAAGGCAGTAGGGACACAAAATCAATTAAGTGACACATATGGTCTCAATAGAATTCACCAATTTTGGGGAGGGGGTACAGACAAAAAATACACATGACTAAGTGTGACGTGTTGTACATAGTATATATGATTAAGCAAGTTGCAGTTCTGTTCACAGCAAGAATGCTGTAAAATTGAGGGTATATCAAACAGTGGAAAATGGAATTAAGAGGTAAGTCTATTTTGATGTAAAAAAACTGAAATTCATGAACAACTTTCCCCCATTATCCTCATCTTTTCATGAACTATTTGAATGACCCCCTAAACGCATGGATTTCAGTTTTTTGGTACCAAAATACTTTTAATTCCTTTTGAAGTACTCCTGTATAAATCAAAATGACAGATATGTGCAAGAAGGTATTTGAAAGTCCTAGCACACAGAGAAACACAGCAATTCAAGACTTAGTTTTAAAAAAGAAAATCCTGGCGCCAGCATTGTGATGTTGTACGTAAAGCCACCTGCATTGCTGGCATCTCATATGGGTGCCAGCTGTTTGAGTCCTGGCTGTTCCACTTCATCCTTCTCCCTGCTAATGTACCTGAGAAAAGCAAAAGGCAGCCCAAGTGCCTGGGCTCCTGCCACCCACGTAGAACCAGAGGAAGCCCCGGACTCCTGGCTTCAGCTTGGACCATGCCCAGCCATTGCAATCATTTGGGAAGTGAACCAGCAGACTAAAGACCTCTCTCTATATATATACCTAAACCCTGAGATGAGAGAGAGAGAGTGTGAGAGAGAGAGAGAGAGAGAGAAGGCAGTAGGTGCCATGCTTATGCAGGTAAGAGAATGTGCCTCCTGTCCCCAATGAAAAGGATCCAAAAAGGGGACACCAAGATGGCCATGATAACAAGAGTCTAAATGAAAGTCTTTACAACCCATTGAAAGGCCCTCCTTTCATGCCTACCCACACCTAGAGAAACCGAGCACTGCCAAGGAACTGTATCAAACATGAACGGTGGTTTTTCACAACCTTGAGCAATACTAACTGCACTCCAGGAGTCAGGCCCTTCCTTGATTACTCTTGTTCTGATGGAGATGCCCAATCCAGCTAAAGATGGAAGGGTTTCCCTCCTCACGGATTTCTCCTGTCTCTCATGTCCAGCACATGGACTCAAACTGCTCCAAGTTAAGAAACAAACTTTCTTGGGACTGGTGTTGTGGCACAGTGAGTTAAGCATCTCCTGTGACATCAGTACCCAAATATGGCCCTGTTTCAAGTCCTGGCTGCTCCACTTACAATTTAACCCCCTGGTATTACACCTGGGAACAGCAGAAGCTGGCTCAAGTTCTTGCAACCCTGCGACCCATGTGGGAGATAGAACTCTTGGTTCCTGCCTTCACTGTGGCCACCTGGGGAGTGAACCAATAGATGCAAAATCTCTCTCTACGCCTATTTCTTTCGCTCTCTCTCTGCAACTTTGCCTTTCAAAACTTTTTTTTTTTAAAGAAATCTCTTTGTACAGTAGGATTTTTCTGTGCTTTCCCTTCTCTTACTGGGGTCAAATTTCTCAAGCAGCGTTGACAGCACGTGTTAGCTGCATTTTCTCAAATCACTTTCCTATCCACTAACGTGGTTTTTGCTTTGGCAGTCAATGACTTCCATGCTAACAAATCCAATTCTCATTCTTCTCATCCACCCTCCCTCCCTGTCCAACTTGATTACTTGATATTGCTACTGCTGACCTCTTCTTCACCGTCCATCTACTTAAAGGACAGTCCCTCCCTAGTCACCAATTCTACCCCACCCTTTGTGCACCTAACTTCCTACACTGTACTTTGGTCAAAGAATCTTGATTTACTTCTATAATCAGCTGGCACTTTCACAATAACTGACCACCTTAAAGATCTGCCTAGCTTTGTATGTCTCACCTCAGCAAATGCTGCCGCTATTTACCTACCTGGATGATTAGGTCTCCCTCAAAGTAATCTTATAAGCAATCAATTCCCCAAATCACATCAATCGCCCCTCCTGGATGCCTCTCAAACTACCTCCCTTATCTCTTCAAATCCCTCCTCTGTAATTTCATCCTCTCCACTTTTCTCCCTTGGTTGAACCTTCGGAGGTTTCCCACTGTCCTTGGCATCCTCTTCCAGTCCTGTCTCCCTAAACTCATCCTGAGCAGCCAGCCAACCAATGCTCAGCCCTGCGGGGCGTGGTTCCCTTCCCAGAACCCACTACGTTTTCTCTGGCTTCAGCATCCTTGTTGAACTCTGCCTGTCTACAGGAACACTCTTTCACTTGACTCCTTATTTAACACTGATTCTACTGGTCTCAACTTCAGCAATGATTTACTCAGGTTGCACACTCCCAGAACACCTTATATTTACCATCTTCTTTTAAAATATTTCTCATTTAAAAAATTATTTGTTTACTGCTAGTCTTTCCAATTATGCCTTGCAAGTTTATTACTCACAGAAAAATCTCCCAGCACCAATGCTAGGCCTAGTTAACATGAATTCCATGAGTAACAGCTGCCAAGGAATTCTCTAATTACTGTACCCATGCTCTGCGTAGATTATTCATACGTTGTTCTATATTAACTCTGAGGCCAAGGAGAGCAGGCTGGTATCACGGGGTCAGGAGGGTAGGGGAAACCTAGGAATGGGGCCAGAGGAAATGCCACACAACTCAACTGCAACGTCAAAAGGAGAGATGAAAAATAATTAACTTACCAAAACATTACAGTGAGATGGATCTGAAACGACGATTGTTATTCTTGTCAAAATTTTAATTGGTCTTGATTTTCCCTATAAACAAAACATGCTATTAAAAAAGTTTGGACTATACCCATTTTTCTTTTTTTTACCTGACTAATGGAAAGCACACGAGACGTTGCTAGTCCCAAAGGATAGTGAAGAGGAGTAAAACATTGCCTTTATTGTCCAGACATTTACGATACAACCAGAAGAAAGCACATGTACATACACGAAGCTGCACACTGACATCATTTACAAGTTTAGGGCTTCAGGAAAGAAGAAATTAAGTACTGCATCAACAGTTAGAATGTTTCACAGAAGAGCTGAGCCTTAGTGGAAAGGTATACCAGCAGGCAAAGAACGGTGCGGAGGAGGATAGCACACAGCCTGGGTGTACTGGAATGGAGTGAATGGTTACTATGTATCTGAAAGAACAAAACACCAACCTGTACAATTGGTAATGTTGTGAAGAGTTCAGAGACGGCTATTGGCTTGTCAATTTCCTACAACAAAAGATACTGGTTACCCAAGATGCCACTTGTGAACAGCACAAAACAAAACAGAATACTTAGAAGTAGTTTTATGGGGAAAAGAATGTTAAGTAAAACGGACAATAAAGAAAAAAAGCTAGAGAACAGAGGAGCAGCTGAGCAATCTGTGAAAAGGATGGAAGAAAACTGATTTTTAAACTGAAATCATCTACGACAGTTTTTTAATAGGGAAATCAGAGAATGAACAAAAGGACTAGGCGATTATATTTAATATGATGACACTTATGAAACACGTAAGAAATATGCCTGTCCACAGCTTTCATATTACCAACACAAACACATGACACGACAATTTATTAACCTGATACACATTATTTTACCTGTTTCTTTTCCTTAAAGTCCACCACATGATTGATGGCAACCACCGAATAGCCAACTGAAAAGAAACATTGAATACTCTTGTTAAACAAGGTAACCTCTTCCTCTAGTTCCCGCAGACTCGTGCCCATTCTAGAAGTTACGACCAGAAGGCAGTCTAGCAAAGCGGTTCCAGCGGCAAATTGTGGTATCAGACCTGAGACTTTCAAACCTAAGCCTTATCCTGGCCCAGTCCCCGCATGTTAAGTTTCCGGTTCCGCATCTGTCAAACGGTGGTGCCACCACCTCATGTGCCTGCCAGAATTCCAGCACAGTGCCTGTGCCTGGCTTATCGTGAGCATTCCGACCCATCATCATCCTCTTTCACGACCCTTTGTTCACTTCATCCAACCATACTGACACTTTTCCAATGCCATCTCTATTGTATCTATTTTGCTGTTTTGTTCGGCTTCCTTCCTGGACCCCTTACCCTAGGAGAAACGAAGCAAGGATTCCCTCACGCCACTTCCCACTCCCTCCCCACCCTGTGAGCCGCCCACCCCAACACAGGGGGCACTCTATGGGGCCTGGAATTCGCTTTATGAAGACGCAGGGATTTCAAGATGTTTGCACCCAAATATATCCTTGCATCCACATTCCTCAGGTAGCCATCTGTGGTTACCAGAAATCCACGCAGGTCATGACTCAGCTGCAGGAGGAAAATCTCAGAGCAGCTACCAAAGCCGGCTGGGCCTGTCCCAGCTCCTCGCGTCCCGCCCCCTCCCTCTCCTGACACGGAAAGCGTGCCCCGGGGAACACGGACCTTTCCCTAAAGACAACCTCATTAGGGCACAAGATGGGTGTGCGTTCCTTTGCCAGCCAGTGGTCGCTTCTAGCACCGCCTTTGAAAAGTTCAGAAACCAGCCGGCCCAAGGAGCTGAGCCCTCTCCGAGGGACAGACAGGGCAGCATGCACCTGTACTCTTTCAGCGTGGCATTCCCACACAAACGAGGCCCCGACCAACCTCAATGACCAGACGGGGTCTCCTCCCCAGGGCTTGCCGTGGAGCTAACCGCCGACCGGCGCCCTAACCTTCGGGTGCTGCTGCGCCCGCCCCCCACGGCCCCCGCACAGCCCCCTCCCCATCCTCTCCCTCGACTCGGAGCCTCAAGGCACTCCCTGTCTGGGCCGCAGCTCCCCGCACTTGTTCAGTCACTGTGTACAAAGTCAAGACGGGCTGACAGGAAGAAGCGTGACTTTAGAAGGCTGTCCGCGTGCGAGTCCAGCCCCCAGAGATACATCATCACGGACATCCCAGAAAACCCAGAGGCCCGGCAGGAACTATCCCTCCCGAGCGTGGTCAGCAGCCAGGCTGGGCAGGCGCCGCAACTCACGGTGAGCGGCGGTCTCCACCAGTCCTCGGAGGGACTTGAGGTCCCCAGTAGCTCGCAGGTCCAAGTCTGCAAACACCGCCATGCTGTAGTCTCGTGACCGCCTGCGCGCCCGTCTGCGCAGCCGCCGCGCCCGCCCCCTCGGGCATGCCGGGAGTTGTAGTTTATTTCCGGGCTCGATCGTAGTTTACCTCCCGCGCATTGACCCTGGATTTAAGGGGTCCGCGGGGATTTACCTTCACTTCAAGTACCAGCATTGCTTGAAATCAGCGGTCTGTCCCCGCAATCCTTTGTGTTCTTCCGGGTGAGGAAGTCTGGCTCTCCTTGGAGGAGGTCAAATCTTTCGGCTGCTATGAGAGGTGATTCTTGGAACATGCACTCAGCATCCACTGCGCGTCTCCCGTGCACCTGACGCTTCTGCGCGGAATTGGAAACGCTATTTAAAATCAGGGCTAAAGTATCCCTGTTTCTTTCCTTCCCTCTTGGAGTTTTAAAAGGACTGGCCGGCCAGGTCTGGGGAGTGGGGATGGGGTTGGGGGTAGGATTCGGGGGTTCTTTGGCTGAGTGGAGACCTGTTGTCTTGCAGCGGTCACTGCTTCAGCCACCAGAGGGCAGGGCTCGCTCCAGGACCAGAGGTCTGCACTCACCAGCGCCTAGCAAGTCTGAGGAGGGAGGGGGCGAAATGGCGAAGTTTGGCTGTTTGCCATCTGCCAACTCTACCAGGTAGGGCAGATGTCTCCACCCTTGTGGACTTCGCAGGAATGACTCTTGTACACGGATGGAGCGGTGATGACAACGCGAAACTGTGGGCCTAAGTGGTTTACATCTGTGCGTTTCTAAATCTCCATGACACAGGGCCTGTCCTCACTGCCCCCAACACGCATTCTCCACGGTGCCAGCGTGTGGGCCCTAGTGTGCGTTACCTCAGGGCGCATGCCACCCCAGGATGCAGGTCCCCAAAGTGCCCAAGCCCGGGCTGAAGACACATTAGGAGCTTGGGTATGGGAACCATGCCCAAGGGCCGTAACGTTTCCAAACACTTTCGGTTTCTGTATTTACTGATCACAAACTGTACACAGATAAGTCTGGCAAGAGGGCCACACCTTCTGCAGCACTCGTTTACTTACTGGTCTCACTGATTTCCTTATTGGTCTCAGAGGGGAATTCTGAGAGGAATCTGCTCCTTGTGGAAGCATGCAGTTCCCGTCTTGGTTAGCCTTGACCGCTTCCGATGCGTGAGAACGCCTAAGAACAGATGAAAATCTTACCTGTGCCAACAGAATGAGGTTATGCTTGCTCTTATTGGCAAATCTAGCATTGATTTTGCAAGATCATACAGGCATTGTCACCCTTCAGACTTCCTTTTTTCACTGTACTAATGCTTAGGAGAAAAATAAAAAAAAGAGCAAGAAAGAAAATGGATACCAAACATTGAGCGTTATTCTGAGGGACAGGCAATTGTCTTGTTTTTTTTTAGCATCTATATTGTCACTCAGAATTTTTGGAAAGATTTATTTATTTATTTGAAACCCAGAGTGAGGGGGAGGGAGGAAAGGAGATAGAGAGATCTTCCCTCTGCTAATTCACTCTCTAAATGGCCAAAAACACCTGGGGCTGGGCCAGGCTAAAGTCAGGAGCTTAGAATTCGATCCTGGTCTCCTGTGTGGCTGGCAGAGGTGCAGGGACTTGGGCCGTCTTTCACTGCTTTCTTAGGTGCATCAGCAGGGAGCTGGATTAGAAGCAGAGCAGCCTAATAGGAGATATTGGCATTGCAACAACACTTTAACCAATTAGGCTACAATGCAGGTCCCAGGACAATTTTCTAAGTCACTGTGTGTGTAACTTCATAGCAACTATGTAAGTTTCGTTTTTCAAACAACATCCTCTTTTCTAATGGGAAAAAAACCCAAGGTCTAAGCAATGGAGGTGGAACTGCATGTGAAGCAAGGTAGTTTGATTGAGTCCTTGTCTAATATACCGCCTCCTAAACAGAGCAAACAGAGCAGTGTTGTGGAGGAAGGAGAAAGGGAAGAGGAAAAGGCAGGGGGCCTGGTGCAATAGCCCCGAGGCTAAAGTCTTGCATCTGCCAGGATCTCATATGAGTGCTGATTCATATCCCAGCTGCTCCACTTCCCTTCCCGCTCCCTACTTGAGGCCTGGGATAGCAATAGAGAATGGCTCAAAAGCCTTGGGACCCTTCACCTGCGAGGTAGACCTGGAAGAAGCTCCTTGTTTCCAATCAGCTCAGTTTCAGTCGTTGGGGCCACTTGGGGAGTAAGCCAGTAGATGGATGGAAGATCTTTCTCTCTGTCTCTCCTTCTCTCTGTAAATCTGCCTTTCTAATCAAATAAAATAAATAAAATTTTTTAAAACAAAGGGAAAGGAGGAGTGGAGAAAGAAAGCAGAGGGGAACAGGAGAAAGAGGCATGGAGAAGGAAGTGGAAGAAGACTGGGAGGAATGGAAAGAGGAAAAAGACAAGAGTAATTATGAGAGGGAAGCAAGGAACAGAGGGGAGGCATTGGCTTGGGGGGTGGCTAAGGCAGCGCTGATTTCACCAGCGTGTGTTCAAAAGTCAGTGTCATCCAGAAACATCCACACAAACACCTGACCCAGTCAAGAAGATACATCACATTAACCATTGGAGTGATGCTGCCTGGAATTCTGCATATTAAATAAGAAAAAAAATATAGTTCAGGCAACAGAAGTATTTTATTAGCAAATTCACAAGACAAAAGAGTGACCAGTTTGTGAACAGCATTTGCAAATGTAATTCCTATAAATTGTATTGCTCGGTATGTTACAAATATGGCCTAAAACTTGCAGGACAAGTTACACGAAAGAACACCTGCTGTTTGTGGCACTTTTCACATTGCAGCTGTTAAGAGAATGGAGACCTAAAGGCTATTTGTGTTGTTCAAAATTTTTGGCATGACTAAAAATCTTATGGAAATGGTGTTCCAAAAGCCACATTAGGAAGTAGCTTATTTTTTTGTATATGGAGAAAGGTTTTGAGATTTTTAAAGTAGACCTGTCAGAACTGGTAACCATGACGACAGTTGGGACTCCTGCAGGGGTCAGTATTAACATCAGACATAAAAAACAGCACAATGTGGTAAGACTTTATCAAGACTTGGAATTTAAGCCAATTTATTGTACCGTTGAAGAGAATGCTCCAAATTTAAAAGCCATACAAATAATACCTAAGGCATTAGCCATGGTCCCACACATTCATGCTCCAAATAACTATACTAGGTGCTTAGGAAATCCTCAACTTCTGGAAGATGTGTGCTTGTTAGTATTATCAAAGATAAAATTCCTATCTTACCCCACCCATGGAGACTGGATGGAGCAGTTTATTCTTCTGGTAGATGGCAAAAAGTCCCGAATATTGTGACTACTTCCCTTCCATTTTTTTTTAAAGCATACAAATTGCCCATATAGCAAAATTGTGTCTTTGTGAAACTCATCTGGGTGTGACTAACAGCCCATTTCCTGCACTGAAGCTGTTTACTACTTATGAAAACCAACAGTCTAACATTACATTACAGCAGCAAACTGTGGAGTCAAAGCTAATAGCTCAAAAACAGTACTTTGCTTTAAATCTATAAAAAGTATACAATTAGATCATCTTCCATTACTCTACCCCAATACCTGAAGCTGAGTAATGTACGTTGAAGGGGTTTTTTTCGGCTTACAGTTTTGGACACTAGAAATCTAAACAGCAAAGTGTCAGGTCTGTTGATGGCTCCTTTTGTCTGCATTTCATCATGGTGCACTGATTCTGTGTATGTGTGTGAGAGAGAGACATACAGACAGACAGAGAGAGATAGAGAGAGAGAAATCAAGAGCACATGGCAAGACAAGAGTCAGAAAGCTATTTCACAATCACGCTGTTCTTTTAGGACGTGTAGGGAGCCATTTTTCTGCCAAAGACCAGTTGGATATTTATAACAGCATTCATAGATCATACAAAATTATCGACTTAAGAATTAGCCTGTATAGATTCATTGAATTGCCAGTCCCACCTGCGATTGCCTCGGCAGATCAAAATCATTTTGCAATCCTTACACAGCCCACAGGCTGGATGTTCCCACCCCTGCTTTATAACAATTTTCCCTTGAGAACTAGCCAGAAGTCTGAGGAGAACCAGGTTCATCTCTTCTGAGGGTAGACTCCCTAACGACCTAAACACCTTCCACTACGTACAGCAGTCACATGTGTACAGGGACCCAAGCCTTGAGCCACCTTCCACTGCTTTTCCCAGGCCATTAGCTGTGAGCTGAATTGAAAGCGCAACAGCTAAAACTGCAGTCGGTGCTTCTATGGGATGCCAGCATGACGGGTGGCAGCCTGAACGGCTGCACCACAATGCCAGGCCCCATTCTTACATTTTAAGTTGTGAGGAACGTTACAAATGTATTAGAAGTTAAACAATCCATTCCACGATTTTTTTTGTCAGAAACAGATGCTGACTATGCTGACTTGTCCTACTATGTAGCAGGTGGCACAGTAGATTGAAAGTTTGATTATGATTCTGAGCTGAGGGCAAAGATGAGATTTTTTTTTTCTCCCAGAACAAGACCTCTCTAAAGTAATGGTCTCAAACACAAATGGCTTTAGGAGAGTCTTGTTGCAGACTTGATCATGTTACCTGATGCATGTAATATAAAGTTAAAGGCAAACCATGCACGCTTGTTAAACTTAGACAGCAATAAAGTCATTTCAGTGACAATTCCATTGTTGAAAACACAGGTAATGTCAATATACACTTCCTGAGCTATCAAACTTAGGAAGTGAACTCCGCATTGCCACACAGATTTTTAAAGAACATATTTTCTAAGCCCAAACCACAGTTCCAGCTGTGTTTCATGGGCATGGAAGAGAAGTTCCATCATTCAAAATCCATTTAACTAAGCAGTCAGTTAAGGAGTTTCCACCTAAGCTTCCACTAGCGGTGAATGTAAATTTCAAGAAAGGAATCTAATAAAATTTCTGCAAATGCCACTCAAGTTGTGAACGTTCTTTGTTAAGATCCATATGCTTGATGTTGGTGAAAATGGTGAAATGAGGAATTCAAACCTCTACTCCTCCCCACAATAGCAATGAAGAAGCTGTCAGAGCCCATCAGCAGCATCTTTTTCTGAAGTCTGAAAGCTAACAAACATCCTGCTGCAATCAGGGTAATTTTTTAAAGATTTCTTTTATTTTTATTTGAAAGATTTACAAGAAAATAAAAAACAAAATAAAAAACAAAGGAAAACAGAACAAAGGAAAGACAGATTTACACAGAGAGAGAAATCTCCCATCCACTGGTTCACTCCCTGAATGCTGCAATAGTTGGAACTGAAACAAATCAAAGCCAAGATCCAGGAGTTTCTTTTACATTTCCCACATGAGTGCAGGGTTCCAAGGAGTCGGGTAATCCTTCACTGCTTTCCCAGGCTGTAAGCAGGGAGTTGGATGAAAAGTGGAGCAGTCCAGTCTCAAACCAGTGCCCATATGAGATGCTGATGCTGCAGGTGGAGGGGTAGCCTACTATGCCACGGTACTGGTCCCCAGGGAAATTTTAATTAAGAAACATTTGTAGTTGAATCTTGACAAGAACAAGTTTTGTATCAATTTAACTTACCTCGGTGTCATGTCCTACTCCTCAGTTGGTTGTGGTCTTGAAATATTCTTTCAAGCCGCTATTCCCCAGTGCAGGTACTGGTAACAGAGAAAACACAATGGCTCCTATTCTGAACGAATGATGCTTTTGTTCTATCTGATGCCTTCTGGAAGGACCGGCTCATTGGATTTGCCTTCATCCCGCCCAGTTAAGAACTCTCCCAGGGTTGAGGCTTTCACATAGGAGACATCTGTGGAAAATATTTAGAAGTAAATGAATTTGATTCCAGTGCCCAGGGAAATGTACAACAGCTAGGTCAAACAACAGACTCACAATAAGTTTGATTCTCTGGAGGAAGAAAAGTTTTGAGATGCTTCAATTTAATCTTAGGAATTAAGAAAGCTATGCACATGGGTAGTATAGTACATTTGCTTGAGAAAATTTCAGAAACCCCAAATGTGGTTTGCCATTAGGCTTTATGCTAGTAGCAAGTAAAGGCTAAGGGGGAGCTATGAGCCGTGTGGCTAACGGATGAAAGCATGTGCCAAAACAAATGTAGGTCCTACTGCAGACTGAGGGGATGCTCAGATGCTTGGCATCAAAGGACATCTGTCAGATCATGAGCTGAGCACTAAACCTCACTAAACCTCACTAAACCTCAGCACAGACTTCAGTGAACACACCCAACAGCTAGAGGATTTACAAAACCAGTTCAAAAGAGTCTCTAGGTAATTCCATCTGAACCCTACGCAGTGACAACAAGTGTGGGGGAGGAGGGAACGTCTGATGATCAGAGTTGCCACCTTAAAAGTGTCCAAATGTTCAGTTCTTAACAAAGTAATATGAAGCATGCAAATTAATGAGAAACTATGGGCAATACACAGGGTGAGAGGGCAACAAATAGTTTTTCTTCCGCAAACCTGGGTATTGAGTGAACTAGATGAAAACTTCAAATCCACTATCTAAAATATATTTCTAAGAACTGAGGGGATCATGAGAACAGTGTCTCACCAGATGCAGAATCCCAACTATGTGTTAGAAAGTACAAGCAGGAGCCAACAGAAATTCTGGAGTTGAGAAGTACAGCGACAGCAAGGCCAGATCCACGAGAAGTGCTCGACACTGCATTTAAACTGGCAGAAGAGAAAACTTCAAGATAGATCAATTGCTATAATCTGGGATGAGGAGCAAAAAGGAAAAAAAAAAAAGAAGAAGAAAGTTAATATATTCCAAGAGACTACCGGTTTGCCATTAAAAGTGCAAACGTGGAGTGAGGATTTGATGCAGCAGTCAAGGCACCACTTCATGCCCACTTCCCATTTTGGAGTGGCTGGCTTCCGGTTTTTTTTGCAATTCTAGCTTCCTCTAATGTGTGTGCAAGGAAGCAACAATAGATTGTGACTCAGTTTCTTGGGTGCCTGCCGTGTGGTGATCTAGGCTCAGTTTCAGGCTCCTGGCTTCAGCCTGGCCCCGCATTTAGGGAAATGAACCAGCGGGTGCCAGGACACTCTCTCCCTCTTTCTCTCATCCCTTCTCAAAGGATACATCCTTTTCCCATGTTGATCTCAAGTATTGCAAACTCCACTGAATTCATTTATTAATTCCAACGATATTGTGTGTGGATTTGTTTTGTGTTTGCATCTTTGTCTAGTTCCTGGTTTTACGAGAAGAGCTTCAGTTTTTAATCACTAAGTCTATTGCCCTCCTCTCTATCATTTGTCATCTCTTCTACTAAACTATGTCTATTAGGGCCCAGCACAGTAGCCTAGTGGTTAAATCCTCGCCTTGTACACACTAAGATCCCATATGGGTGTCGGTTTGCATCCTGGCTGCTCCACTCCCAAGCAGTTCCCTGCTTGTGGCCTGGGAAAGCAGTCAAGGACGGCCCAAAGCCTTGGGACCCTGCACCCACGAGGGAGAGTGGGAGAAGCTCCTGGTTCCTGGCTTCAGATTGGCTCACCTCTGGCTATTGTGGCTACTTGAGGAGTGAACCAGTGGATGGAAGATCTTCCTCTCTGTCTTTCCTCCTCTCTATATATATCTGCCTTTCCAATAAAAATAAATAAATCTTTTTTTAAAAAAAACCCTATGTCTTTCAAGCAGAAATAAAAATGTCTCTAACTCTTTTTTTGCAGAAATGGACAAACTGATTCTAAAATTGATATAGTACTGCAGGAAACACCAGATAGAACAATCTTGAAAAAGAAAGATTTTGAGGATATCCACTTGGTAGTTTTAAAACTTTACTACAAACCTACAGAAGACAGGGGCCAGCATGGTGATCGGGCTGGCAGACTGATCCTGTGGTTGTGGCGTCAGCATCCCGAATGGGCACCGATTTGAGTTCTGGCTGTTCTACTTCTGACCCTGCTTCCTGCCTGTGAACTAAGAAAGCAGTGGGAGATGGCTCGTTCTCTGTCTGTCTCTCTGTTTATGCTTCTCCCTGTAGCTCTTCCTTTCAAATGAAGATGAATTAACCTTTTTAAAAGCTACAGAAATCAATATGGCATAGACTATAGGTAAAAGGAATAGAAATTAGTCTTTAGAAACAAACTTGCATGTTTTTGTTCAATTGATTGTCAGCATGGATGCAAAGACTATTCAGTGAGGAAAACAGTCTTTTCAACAAATAGTTCTGGGACAACTGAATACTCACATGCAAAAGAATGACTTTGAATCCACTCCATATAATATATAAAAATTAATCTAAAATGGCTTACATAACATAAATATAAAAGCATAAGAAGGAAAATATGTGTACATTTTCATGATTATTGATTAGGTAATGGTTTCTTAAATGTAACACTATCATCAAAAGAAAAAAGTTTGCAAAGAAAATAAAGTAAAAAGACAACACACAGAATGAGAGAAAATATTTGGAAATGAAATGTTTGATAAGGGCTGGCAGCTAGAATTTGTAAAGAACACTCAAGTCAGCGAAATAATATATATCTCAATTTTTAAACAGACAAAGCATGGGCCTGGTGGCTAAAGTCATCACCTTAATGTACCAGGATCCCATATAGGCATGGTTTGTATCCTGGCTGTTGCACTTCCCACCCAGCTCCCTGCTTGTGGCCTAGGAAAGCAGTTGAGAACAGCCAAATGCCTAGGGATCCTGCACCAGCGTGGGAGACCCAGAGGAGCTCCTGTCTCCTGGCTTTGGATCAGTGCAGCTCTGGTTGTTGCAGTCGCTTGGGGAGTAAATCATCGGATGGAAGATCTTCCTCTCTGTCTCTCTTCCTCTCCATATATCTGCCTTTCCCATAAAAATAAATAAATCTTTAAAAAAATGCAGTGGTGACTTAAAGCTGCTATACCACTGAGGAATTTGGTTACCACTTGCGAACCTTAAAAGATCTGAAAAATTGATTCTCTATGACCTAATAATTTCATTTTAGGACTGCAACTAAATGCCACCATATGTATTTTTTTTGCTGTTTATCATTTTATGGAATGAATAATGGAGTCCTGGGTCTATTTTCAGGCCTAGCATACCTAAAAATGTGCAGGTACACCACTCATTAGTGAGTGGCTGAGCCCATAAATAAAAACAACATCCAGAGCCTGAGTACATGCCACTCCTGAGCCCATAAATAAAAACAACATCCAGAGCCTGAGTACATGAAACCCATCAAAATATAAAATAACGAAGGCCAGAATATTACCATTTATAAAATGGCTTCATGAAGGTCTTTCATTGCAGAAGTGAGTCTTGATCTAGTAACTAAATATCTGTTCCACTTTATCCTTAGGTATTACCTTCCAAGGTTTGGGCACACCAGCAAACTAAAACACATCTCACTGTAAATTGGAGTTTATACTAATGCTGCTCATCTGTAAACAGTACAAACTTCTCCTTGGTTCACTATGGCAACATTACTCACAAATACAAAAACTGCCCAAATATCCATCAACTTGCTAAGATGGTTACTCGGTATGTCCTGTTTTGCCCAGGGAATATGGGAGACAGTGAGTGGTGGAAGGTGAGATAGCTAAGTTTGATGAAGACAAATACACCTGCTAGGCTGGGCAGGTGTCTCAGAAAGTATCAGATGGGAGACTTCACAGATAAAGGTATGGGTCTCCCAATTCTCCTCCCCTCTTCCCTCTTCTGGGAAATTGCTGGGTGGCATGCTTGTCCGGGCATGGAGTGCCTGAAGTCCTCTTGGGACCTTGTCAGCACAGTATCACTGGACCTAACAGCCCTTTGGTGCAGAATGGGGAAATTCCCCTAAACTGCCCCCAGGGAGAGGGCTGGAACCCACCCAACAAGGTTATTGAACAAGAGCAATATTTCAGGTATGTAATTGCTGGTTTTTTTCAAGGCTTGTTTCCTTATTCCTTTGTACTAAATTCCCATTTTCTTTAAAAAAATAATCCCATTTTTTTCAGCCCCTCTTACAGGCTAATGTCTATCCAACAAACTGAGTAGTTGACAAGCAAAATATGGCAATCTATACATTGCTTATTCAGGCATAGAAAGCAATGGAATATTGCTACAAGCTTCAATTTCGATGAACTTGGAAAACATAATGCTAAGTCAAAAGAAGCAGACATAGAAGGCGGCAATTGCTTTGTTCTGTTTCCAGGAAATGTCCAGACTAGGCAAATCCATACGGACAGAAGGTAGATTAGTGGCTGTCAGGGTGTGGGAAGGGGAAGCAGAAAGGTTAACGGGTATTAGGGTTTCTCCTTAGCCTGAAGAAAATAGTCAGTGTTCTGAATTACATAATGATGGCTGCACAACTTTACACATGTTAAGTGTACACATTAAAATAGCTAATATGAAATGTGATTTTTATGTCACTAAAAAAAAAATCCTATTCCTGTGGGCTGATAGCAATATTTGGCAGTGTCTGTGTGAGAAGGCCCATTCTGAGATGAAATATGAAAAATCTCATTAGAGAGCATCATTAACACATGAGCAAATGGATTTCATGACGGGAGAACACTGACTTTGAATCCCAGTTGAGCTAAATGTTATCTCTGCAAAACCCATTATTCTTTTCTTGCTACTAGACCTACCTGTATTATAAAAAAGTTCTTATTATTTCACCTTGAATTTTATTAAAAAGTTATGGAAGTATTTTCATTTTTCCTACTAAAGTAGGTAAATGATAGCTTCAAGGTTGTCCATTTTGCCCAAAAATCCTAAAATGTTCACTGGTTACTTTACCAGAAGTGTTTATAAACCTCACTTACATCAATTAGTTATTAGTGCTGATATTATTCTGTTGTTATCTTTCAGCAGATCCTAGTGGAGATGGGGGCTATATTTAGGGATTTGTGTGGCCAATGGTGCCTGGCTCACTTTAGGAGTGCTATTATTGTTATCTAATAATTGCAAGTAGAATGGATATTACTAGTTTTTAATAGGGCTGGAAATGCTAACCATTCTGCAACCTATGAGAAAGTCTTATAGAATGAACACTTGCATTTAATCCTATATTTTTAAAATTAATGAGCGTATTAAACTTATTAATTGATATGAGGGGGAGAGAATATTCATTCCTTGGTTTACTCCCTGAAGCCATTAACAGCTGGAGATTGGCCAGGCTGATTTTCTGTGTGGGTGGCAGGAAGCTAGCCATTTGAACCACCTAGGACTCCCAGAATACACAATCAATAAGAGGCTGCAATTGGGAGCGGAGGGTGACTGGAGACCAGGCACTCAGATATGGCATGTGGGCATCTTAACCGACAGTCAAACACACCACCCTCATTCTTATCAGATATTTATGGAGGGGAAATCTGTTAATCATTCAGGATTCTAGACCATAACTTTGCTTTACATGTTAAGTATACAGTATTTTTATTCCACAGCCTTAATCTGCAGAGAAATTTGCAAGAGTGTAACCACTGATTAAATTGAGCAAAGAGTGTTTTTACTTTGCAAATATGAGTTGGTTGAAACTAAGAGAGCACAAAAAGTGGTTGCCTACTTCAAAAAATCATGTCATTGTGGCAACACTGCTGGTACTGTTTGGGTTGACAATACAGTACACCCACATCACTGGGCATTTGCAACAATTTTATGGTGATTAATATACATATATATCTATACCCACACTATTCACTATAAATATTATATACAGATAATCTGCTTTTATATATATTATCCAGTTTAAATAAGTATAAATATATATTTTAAAATAAGTAGATATATATTTATATATTGTCTGTTTACCTATTTATCTTTTTTTTTAAAGATTTATTTTATTTTTATTGGAAAGGCAGATATACAGAGAGGAGAGACAGAGAAGAAGATCTTCCGTCCGATGATTCACTCCCCAAGTGAGCACAACGGTCGATGCTATGCTGATCCGAAGCCAGGAGCTTCTTCCGGGTCTCCCACGTGGGTGCAAGGTCCCAAAGCCTTGGGCCATCCTCGACTGCCTTCCCGGGCCACAGGCAGGGAGTTGGATGGGAAGGGGCTGCCGGGATTAGAACTGGCGCCCATATGAGATCCTGGGAGGGCAAGGCGAGGACCTTAGCCACTGCGCCATCATGCCGGGTCCTATTTATCTTTCAAAGTGCTATATATAAATTGGAAGCTTTGGCAACCCTCACTTTTCTTAAATCTAAATGCATTTATTAGAACTAGCTATCAGTATCGGTTATATTTTCTGTAAAATGGTGCCATAGCATTCATTGTCAAGTTCATGTTTATTTATTCTGTCACTTTTTGAAAAAAAAATGTTTGAAAGCATGACAGAGAGCAAGGGAGAGAGAGAGATAGAGAGTGATAGAGATAAAGAGATCTTCCATTCATCCCCTCACTCCTCAAATGGTCACTACAGATGGGGCGAAGTCAAGCCAAAGGCAAAAGCCTGGAACACCAACTGGGTTTCCCACTTGGGTAGCAGTTGCCCAAGTGCTTGCGCCCTCTTTCTCTGTCTTTCCAGGTGCATAGGATGCCATGGATGCGAGTGTTGTAAATTGTGTCTTAACCTGGAAGCATCATAACATTAACATTCTTATTTCTGCTTATATTCTAGTTAGAGTATTACAAAATACTGTATTGCAAAGATATTTGGCTGTTGTAAGTTCAGAAACATTGGGATATAAAATGCATTGTGTAAAGACTTATTCTTACTTATTTGAGAGAATGGGGGTTGGGGAGAGACAGAGTACTATCTGTTGCTTTCTTCCAAATGCATGAGACAGGCCGGGCTGAGCTGGACACTCAACCCAGCCCCCACATCCCTGCCCATGTATGTGGCAGGGACCTTACTACTTAAGCCACCACCACTGTCTCCAAGTTTGTCCCTTAGCAGGATGCTGAGATCAGGAGCAGAAGTGGGACTTGAACTTATGCACTCAGATATGGAGTGGGAGTGTCCCATTGGGTCTCCTGAACACCAGGGCAAATGCGTGCCTTGGAAGTACTCATTTTTCTGTGTGATAGTTTGGTTATGAAAACAAATAAAACTAAATATTGCGTCCAGTCTTAAAATCTGAAACTACACAGCAGTGCAGAGTAATAAAACACAAACAAGCCTCTGTACTTTTTGGGTTCAGAAAAAAAATCCAAGTTTCCAGACTGAAACAAAGAATATTGATTATTAAAATAATCAGCAAAATGTCAGGTTGCACACTTGTGTTTAAAACATAGTCTTGGGCCCAGTGTGGTAGCCTAGCAGCTAAAGTCATCACCTTGCACGCGCTGGGATCCCATATGGGTGCCAATTCTAATCCCGGTAGCCCCACTTCCCTTCCAGCTCCCTGCTTGAGGCCTGGGAAAGCACTCGAGGACAGCCCAAAGCCTTGGGACCCTGCACCCATGTGGGAGATTTGGAAGAGGCTCCAGGCTCCTGGCTTCAGATTGGCTCAGCTCTAGCCATAGCAGCCAGTTGAGAAGTGAATCATTGAATGGAAGATGTTCCCCTCTCTCTCTCCTCTCTGTATATCTGACTTTCAATAAAAATAAAATAAAATAAAAAAATACATAGTCTCAACCCTTCTTACCTTTGGTACTGCTGCCATTTGGGGCAATGAGATTCTTTATTGTCGGGGTTTGCTGGGCGCATTTCAGGGGTTCTGCAGGCTCTTTCACTTCTGCCGGCCCACTGTGTGCGAGGAGCTGCCCAACCAAAGTTGTGACACCAAGGACATTTCCAGAGGTTGCCAAATATATCCTGGAAGGCAAAATCTGGGGTTTGTCACACTCAAGTGCTCACACTAGGTAAGCATGGGGGCAGCGCAGGGTGTGTTTTGTGTTTCAGAGGCAGATGGAGAGGGGAAGCAAGAAGTTTTGAAAGCAGCGCTGTGAGTGACAGCAGCTTTCCGGAACGTTCTGCGTTGGGTGTGACGCAACCTGGGGGTTGGGGTAGGAGCAGGGGAAACCACATTATGACGCGAGTTTAATTTCCCATCAGATAATTAGGACTGGGGTTCATAGTCACACTTACACATGGTTTTAGAAAATGAAAACGACACTTCTCGCAGGGCTACAACTCATCGCTACTTTGCATGGCACACATTTTCTTGATGATCTGCCATAGAGTCTACCCTCACCATCTTTCCAGTGGGTTTTACACCACACAGCTATGGGAGGTTTTCCACACATGTAAGGTACTCTCTTGGAACCTCACGCTCCTCTGAACTGAGATAACAGCTTTGTAAATTTTGCTGTTTCCCCATGCAGCGCTAATGTCTTTTTCATCCGGATTCTCACCGTCGGCTCATCTTTTCCACACTCCACTATAACTCTTTGGTTGTCTCAGCTGCTGACTTAGTTATTCACCCTTAGCACTTAGCACGCTACCTGTCAGTATTTCACTGGTATGCGTTTATGGAATAAATGAAAGAATGGATCAAGTATATTTTTGCCTAGAAGCGGAGATGAACATGATGGCAATTTACATTTCAAATATTGCATTAGAGATTATAGAATTCTTAAGAGACTGAAAAACATTAGAAAATGTAAGATATAATGCAGCCTATCCATTTCTCAGTGAAAGTCTTCTGTTTTGATTATTTTAAAATAACCACACAGTTTTAGCTTATGCCCCAACTGCCGGCTACCTTTTAGTCAGACAATTCCAAAAATTGTCTACTCTCTGGGCGTCCTTTGTCTCTCATCTCTTTGATCCTTTCCAATTTCCTTTTATCCATACTTCCTAATTGAAACAGTTCTTGTCTTGCACGGCGTTTAACTCAGTCAGCCAGTCTCTCCTTCCCGAAGCAGGTGTCACTTGATGTATCTGACTTGGTTCTCCCCCTAGGTGCACTGGCCTTCCCTTCTCAATCTCCTCTCTTCTCCTTGATGCCTGGGCTGTGGAAGCATCCCAGTGTTGAATCCTCGGGACTCTTTGCTATTATCTGCTTGGGGTGTCATCCCTAAATCTGAATCTAACTTTACTTGGACATACAAGAATATCTCAAACTTCACTTTCTGGTAAAAAAAAAAAAAAAAAAAAAAAAAAAACCACAAAAGGCAAATCTGGGCCTGGTGCAATAGCCTAGTGGCTAAAGTCATCACCTTGCATGTGCCAGGATCCCATACAGGCACTGGTTTGTATCCCGGCTGTTGCACTTCCCAACCAGTCCCCTGCTTGTGGCCTGGGAAAGCAGCCAAAAATGGACCAAAGTTTTGGGACCCTGCACCCAATGTGGGAGACCCAGAAGAGACTCCTAGCTCGTGGCTTCAGATTGGCTTAGCTCCAGCCATTGCAGCCATGTAGGGAGTGAATCAGCAGGTGGAAGATCTTTCTCTCTGTATTTCCTTCTCTCTAAATCAGCCTTTCCAACAAAATAAATATTTAAAAAAAAAAAACACAAAACAAGCAAATCCTTGGGTGCTTTAGGCAGGGTGCATAATCAAGTCAAGCTACTGCCTATGATGCTAATATCCCACAGAGGTACCTATCCGGGTCCTGGCTACTCAACTTCTGAACCAGCTCCTAGTTCATACACCTGGAGAAGCAGCAGCGGATGTTCCCAGTGCTTGGCTCGTCTCCATCCCTGACATATCCGGCTGCAGCACGGCCCAGCCCTGCCTGTTACAGACATTCGGGGAATGAACTAGAGCAATGAACTCCCTCTTTCTTTCTCTATTACTTTGCCTTTCAAATACATAAACATAAATAGCTAATTCTGGTATGCACTGAACTCTCATTTATACTTGATACTTCGATCTGTTGTCCTTTAAATACAGGAATTTAGTTTTTCTCAGACCATGTCCAATTTGTCCTTTGACAAAAGCTTTCCACTCCAATGGAATTTGCATTGTTGTATAGTTACACCACTAGGGGGTGTGTATGCACCGTTTTTATTTCAAAAATGTTCTTGAGAAGAAAACACTGAGAAATTAATCAATTATACTGGTTGTTTCTGTTTTCTAATTTTCCACTTATTTTGCTTGAGAATTTTTTTTTTAAAAAAGCTTTATTTGTTTGAAAATTTAGATTTACATAGAGGGAATGGTGAGACAGAGAGAATCTCCCACCTGCCAGCCCATTGCCTAAAGATTTCTGGTCTGAGTTGGACCCTATGGAAGCCAGGAGCCAGCTTCACCCAGGGCTCCCACTTGGGCAGCAGAGGCCCAGACATTTGGCCCAGATTCTGCTGCTTTTTCCCAGGCCACTCTGGAGGGAGCTGGGTTGGAAGTAGAGTAGGCAGGACACCCACTGCATCCCGTGTGAGATGTTGGCATTGTAGACCAAGGCTTTATCTACGACATCCAAAATTTCAAGCCCCAGGAAAAGTTTTCAGAAGTTTTTGTATTTTTTATCTTATAAAGAGAATAAAAATGTCCCAAATGCTTGGAAGCATAAAAAAAGTACACTAAAATTTTTAAAAAGCCAGCAATAAGGTATAATGCGGGTGACTGTAGCATGATGTAACAGACCATGTAAACTAAGACAGTACCGGCAACTCATTTTTTGACAGACGAATTATTTAAAATCAAGTGTAATTCTTTTTTTAAAAAGGCATTATTCTATCCTCAAGCCATGTGGCACATGCTTCTTGAACACCTAGCATAAGGCAGGAACATGAAAATGTCTCTGGGGACAGCAGTGTTGTAGAGTGAACCAAGTTTTTCTTAACCGACCTCCAGAGTTCTGGTACCTTTACTTTTGATCCAGCTCCCTGTTAATGCACGTGGGAAGGTAGCAAATGATGATCTAGATGCTTGGATCCCTATCATCTATGTGGCTGGCCTGGATGGAGCTGTTTTTTCCTGGCTAGATCCTGGCCTAGCCCTGGTGTTGTGGATATTTGGAAAGTTAATCAGCGGATAGTAAGATATTTCTCTCACTCTCTCTCTGTGCTTGCTTTTGGGAAAAAAAAATAAATTTTAGAAAAGAAAAAAAAAAATCCCTGGAAGACAGTTATGTAACTCTAAAGCAATGTACAAAAGCAAATACCATAACAAAGATAATGTAAAAAAAAAATGCTTCGGGGTTAGCATTGTGGTGCAGCGAGTCAAGTTGTTGCCTGCAACACTGGCATGCCATACGGATGCCAGTTGGAGTCCTGGATGCTCCACTTCTGATTATTGCCCTGCTAACGCACCAGGGAGAACAGCAGCAGATGGTTCAAGTGCTTGGGCCCTTGCCACCCACACGGGAGACCGGGATGGATTCCAGGCTTCTGGTCTTGGACAGGCTTGGCCCCAGCTGCTGTGGTCACGGGGGGAGAAATCCAGCCATTTCTCTCTTTATCTCTCTGTGCATTTGTGTGTCTTTTGCTTTTTCTGCCTTTCTAATAAATAAATAAGTCTTAAAAACATTGATGTTGAGCTTGGAAAGAATGGGAACACTTATGGTGATGGGGCTAAGGAGACATTTTTGTGTCCCAGTCTAGCTGCTTTTGTCCCAAGCGGTTCTCAAGCATATATGTTTTGACAAGATTAAAATCCTTGCGTCGCGGATAGACTCTATACTACCGTTCCACAGCCTTATTGATAGCTGGGTGTAGCATTTGGATACTTGTGTACAATTATCTTAGTATTATGGCCATCTAAGCTGTAGTTATAATTTTCCTAAGCAACCAATTCTGGGCTAAGGAACACTCAGTTGATTTGTTCAGCTGAGTTAGAAAATGGGATATAGAAGTGAGAGACAGGAAACATTTGGAGAAGACAGAATATTCCCTTAACTGTGCATATGAAGTTACTGGACCTCTGTAGGCAACAAATCAACATACGCGACTGACGGATGACTTTCCAATGAACCCTATGGCATAGAAAACTTCATTATGTTTCGCAGGTAAATATTTTACTTGTGTTTCTTCTGTCTAGATTGTCAGAGTATGTTGGTTTATGGAAAAAATAAATTACGCATTATGTCCTATGGATGGGTATGTGTGAGTTTGCATAGATATGATTAAGCATATGCCTTTAGATGAGCAAGATGAGTACCTAGAGGAAAGAAGAGCTTATAAGAAAGCTGGTAATTCATGGTGCAGGGTTTTGCTGCTCTCTGCTCCCCCAGAATAGTTTGGAGTGCAAAAGATCGCCAGTTGGAAACATCAGAAAGCTGTATTCTCAGGAGCCCTCATTGACAATTTTATGAGAATGCTATTACAGGCAATGAGAGTCTAGACAAGGATTGGTGCTTTTTAAAGCAGAAGGCTTTTTTTTTTTTTCTTTTAATGAAAGGAAGGAGAAGGATAGAAACTAGACATGATTTGATTTAGATGCCAACACTTTGCTTCTTATCTCCAGTGTAACTGCCAAAGAGTGGGCAGGGAGGAGGAGAGGGGAAAGAACAACATCTTGATAAGAATTTTAAAATACCAGGAAACTGAGGACAAAACAAACAACACATTTAGATGGATGTTAAGATAGTTCATGAATATTTTGTGATATTTTATCTTTTAGATTTCCTTTGAGAGAAAATTATGGAGACCTATATGTGAGATTTTAATGCTTTTTTTTTTAATGAAGATACAATTATTTGTTAGTGATGGTTACTGGGAAACTGAGTTTCAAGTTGTTCCACCAGAAATTTGGAATCAAACAATGATAGATGAACTTTAAAGTCAACAGAAGCAAGGTAATGTTGCAGAAGCTGAGCTTTTCAATAACCATCTTTATGCATTGTGACAGCTTATAAATTAAAAACCTAGCAAGTCTTAGGAAATATATTCAGCTATCACTAGGGATAATATAATAGAGGTGACTGCTCTATAAAAAGGGGGGTTTGGGCTCAACGCTATATTGAGAATGGAAGAGAAAGCAATTTTGAAAAATAGCATTTTGTGTTTATATGGCACATGGTGTGAAAGTATTATTATGGACTGGACATTTGCTTCCTTCTAAATGTCTACGATGACATCGCACTGCCCAACGTGAGTGAGTGTGTTAGGTGTATCAGGGAGGTAGCTGGGTCCTGGGGGAGCAGACCTCCTGATCAGCGTCTGTGCTGTCATGCCAGAGACCCTGGGAGCTCCCTCGCCACCTTGTGCCCCTGGAGGACACAGTGATGGCCGTGCAGCAGGAAGTGAGCCCTCCCAAGACACAGACTCCACAGGCAACTTGATCTTGAACTTGTCAGTCTTCAGGACCTTCAGACACAAGAGCGTGTTGTGGAGCCACCCAGTCTTTGGTAATTTTGCAATAACAGCCTGAATGGATTCAATAAAACAAAAGCAAAAGCCAGCAGCTGCTGTGACATGTAAGTGGGCAAGGTAAGGATTAGTAAGAGTGTAGGTGGTAAATTATACACATTGTACCTACAAATAAAAAGGAAACAGCTTATTGCCAAGATCTTTGTGTAATTAATTAGTAGGAAATATTTAAAATAGCTAACATAGAATGCTAAACTGATGAGGGATACTCATGGGGGAAAAATAAGAAAGGTCAAAGTGAACTAAAATGAGTTGAATGGTGAAAAGTAACTGCTGAAATGCATGACCTTAAGGAATTTCTGAGAGGCATCAAGACAAACTTCAAAATCAAAAATTGAGCCATGGCAGGGTACTCTGTATGCTCTAGGGCACGGTGGGAACTGTCTCCCAGCTGTCCTCTCCTTGTGTTGAAGGGTGGAGAAAGGACTTCTTCCACGCTGTCCAGTTATGGACTCTTCTTCTTTTGGCTGAGATTAAGTTTAACATCAATTAAGACTAAAAAAATAAGCTCGTCTTCCGAAATGGTAAGAAGTGTGTTTTATGGCCTAGATCTTACCTTGTCCATTTCCTCTGACTCTGTGGATATCTTCGCTTATTCCAGGCACAGGGGAATCCCTGAAATATTAATAACAGCGAAGGAGCTGTGTGTGAGCGACAATTTGGAGATCTTTGCCCCCTCCATAATTTTTTTGAATGTGTAGCAGGAAGCATACACTGATCAGATAAATCTGGGTTTGATACCTAAATATTACCTATCAGCTTATTACAACAGAAACTGCAGAAACTGGTGTTTTTTTTCCTCATCTACAAAAACAGGGCAAATACGCTCCTTACAGAAGAATTTTTACTCAGGATTCAGATCAATACATTTTGTGATGTTTTGCTCCTTTTCTTCTTATTTATAATTCACCAGGGTCTCACTAGAAGCCAGATTTAATCATGTTTAGAGCCTCAAACCATAGAAATCGCTGCTGTCTACCAATAAAACCTTCGAATGAAATGGAACGAAGCAAGTCTCGCTAGGGCTTGAGCAGCAAAAGGGGTTCCAGGCCGTAGGCACCCCCAGACTCCTGCCCACAACGCTGCCGCGACTCGTCCCTTCTCCCGTGTTCGCGACTGCCAAGAAAGCCGTGGGAAAACGAACCCTCACTTTACCACTTCGGGTGTATTTTCAAAGCTGGGGGGTCCGGGTTTCTGGGTGCCCAGACTGGTCTGTCAGATAGAGCTTGGGGGACCCCCCAGAGGCAGCGCCCCGTCGCGCCAGGGCCTTAAGACACCCCTGTCCTGTCAGAACCCTCCCCCCACCCCAGGAGGCCGTTTCTCCTTTTCCATTTTCGTTTTTGTCCCAGAAGTGGTCAAAACGGGAAATGTTAGTATCTATACTGTTCACAGTGTAGTGCTCGAAAAGGTGTTTTTCTTTTTTTCACCTGAGGTGGGGAGGGCACTTCCTCCCCCGGCTCTTCACGTCGCAGAGTCCCTCAGTCCGCTGTCCCCCCCACTCTCCACCCCCAGGTCTCTTCACGAGAGCCAGGAGCCCCTCACCGCACGCTGCTTTCACCCGGCCGCGAGGAGCCGGGCGCCCCGGGCGGCTGCGGCAAGGCCAGCGACGCGCGGCCCACGGGCTCGGGATCCCGCGCGGCGCGTGCGGCCCCGCCCCCAGCGCGGCGGGGAGGCGCGGGAGCCGAGCGCGGGCTCTCCTCAGCCGGGGAAGCCCGACCCGGGCGCGCGAGGGGCGCGGGCGGCGGCCTGAGGCGACGGTGGCGGCGGGGACGTGGCGCGGCTGCCGCAAGGGGAGCGGCGGCGGCGGCGGCGGCGGCGGCGGGCGCGAGGGGCGGGGCGCCCTCCGCAACTTCTGCCACCGAGGCGGGGGGTTCGGTGGAGCCGCGCCGCTAACTGAGGGGGCTGCGGTGCGGCCACCGGCTCAGCCGGGCCTGCCTGCCAGCCAGCCAGCCAGCCAGCCCGCGCGTCCCGGGTGTCCGTCGGGTGCCCGGTGGCCTCTCGTAGGCGACTGCCCCGCGCGGCCCCGCTTCCGTGTTAACCCGCAGCGGCTGGGCCGCCCGGGACGTGCGGGACTCGCCAAGGCCAAGCCGGGCGCCCCCCAGCGGCCAGCGGCGGGTCCCATGGCTGGGCCGGGCGGAGCGGAACCGGCGAGGTGAAGCCCCGGGGCCCGCAGCCGGAGCGCGCGTGGCCGGTGCGCCGGCTCCATGGGGCAGCGGCCCACAGCGGCACGATGATGATGGACGTTAACAGCAGCGGCCGCCCGGACTACGGGCACCTCCGCTCTCTGCTTCTGCCGGATGTGGGGCGCGGCGGACTGCCGGACCTGAGCCCCGACGGTGGTGCCGACGGGGTGGCGGCCACCTGGTCGCCGCACCTGCTGAGTGAGGTCCCTGAGGTGACTGCTAGCCCCGCGTCCACCTGGGACGCGCCCCCGGACAATGCCTCGGGCTGCTGGGAACAGATCAACTATGGCAGCACCGAGAAAGTTGTGATCGGCTCCATCCTGACGCTCATCACGCTGCTGACGATCGCGGGCAATTGCCTGGTGGTGATCTCCGTGTGCTTCGTCAAGAAGCTCCGCCAGCCCTCCAACTACCTGATAGTGTCCCTGGCGCTGGCCGACCTCTCGGTGGCTGTGGCGGTCATGCCCTTCGTCAGCGTCACCGATCTCATCGGGGGCCAGTGGATCTTTGGCCACTTCTTCTGCAACGTCTTCATCGCCATGGACGTCATGTGCTGCACGGCCTCGATCATGACCCTGTGCGTGATCAGCATAGACAGGTAAGGGCCAGGCTGCGCGCCGTCCCCGGGGTCTGGCCAGGGCTGTGCGGGGCGGCTCAGTCCCCATCCCCGCGCGCGCGCTCGCCCTTTCCTGGGAGGCTCCAGCTCGTAGCTGGGGTCTAGGGCTGCGTTTGGAACACAGCCCCGCACGTCCGCCCCGCACCGACCGTACAACTTTAATCCCGGCACGGCCTGTGTGCACCCTTGAAAAGAGAGACCCACACGTCCCTGGCTTGGTTTCCTGAGCGTTTTGTGAGACCAGACTTGGAGTATTACAATTGTAATTACAGAGTGTTACAGAGCGCTTCCACCAGGGGGTCTCTCGGCTTGGGTTTCCCCGGGAAGACTTTGGATGCTTTCTGACTTGACAGACCCAGCCTTGCTGTGAGACCCCCCTCTTAAAAGAGTCCGGGAGAAAAACCACGGTGCTTCCCCCAGCACTCCTGAAAGGGCCCTGGGTGGTCCCAGCTCCGGCAGTCTGTGGGAGTTGCTCGCGAATGCCTGGCTGCATTCTTGCGGGAAGCTGGTGTCGGTGTTTGGCAGCCCTGTCCTTACTGACTGGAGCCCAATTCCACATCTGTGCCCCCCCCCCCCCCAGTCTCCCCAAAGGTCGGTTCTAGCCTTTCCTCTGGCTCCCCGTGTGACACTTGCCCCTCATTGGAGTAAGTGAGGCAGAGGCTGCCGCCAGCCCGGGGTGCTGGGGGCAAACGCTCCTGCCTTGGGTGTCCTCCCCAGAGTTTGTGCAGAGCTGGTCCTTGGCGCTAGCATATCCTGTAACTTCCAGTATGGGCTCAGGGCTCCTTGGCTGCAAACTTAGCTCCGATGTGTTTGAAACTGAACTTTTAAACCTTAATATTTACACTCAGAACGCGGCTGGTGTTTGGTAGCCAGACAGGAGAGTATGTTGTTCAGTGACAGGGAGAATATGTCGCTGCTTTTCTTAGTGGACCTACAGGACATTTAGATGCATAGGTCTTTCAGCAGGGGAGGAATAATTGATGCCTCTGTTCGTGGAATGACAGTGCCTTCAGGGATGGTCTGGCATGTAACGGAGATCCTCCTCCCCTCCCCCCTGAAAACACTGCTCTCGGTGGTTTTGTGAGATTTAAAATGTTTTCTTACAGTTTGTCTAGGGCTTATAATTACTAAAGAAAAGGAATGAGAGGCCAGAAAAAGTTTTCAAAGGGGAAAAAAAAAATCATTGCAGCTGTATTTAGTTCATGATGTAGGTTCATTTTTCAAAGACTGGCCCTGCCATTTCCTATGTCATGACAGGTGCTACTGACAGCGAATGAGGGGTTGTTGGAGAACAGAGCATGACCTGCATAGGTGAGAGTAGGAGCACCAAGTTGGCTGCGGAAGTTCTGAGTTACCGCAGTTCAGAATGACAGACATGCGCGCTTGCAGTCTGGCAGTGGCAATGGCAGGTGGGAGACTGCGCTCAACACGCATAGCAAGCATATACACGAAGTGTAATTCATGAATCTGCTCGGCCAACCAAAACAAGGCTCCTCGCATAAATGCAGTCCTTTTAAATGGAACTTGCTGTCGTAAAATAATTTAGGCTGCAGGCAATGCTTTTATAAACTTTTCCTTTTTTTTTCATTCCATTATGGATAAGTGATAAATAAATAACACATGGTGCTCAACCATCTTCTAAGACAGCCTATGCTTCTGCTATTCGGGGCACCTTTAAGTTTGACACAGCTGGCCATGCGAAGCCTGAGCAGGGTTCAGGGCCTAATTTACTCCGTGCGTTTGTGTCTTAGCACCGGCAGAGGTTTCCAGAATACAGAGAAGAGTCATTCCTTTGGCAAAAGCTGTAATGTCTTAACTATAGCTTCCCAATTGTCACAAATTCTGGTAATATGGGCATAAAGACTCTTTTATTTTTCTATGAGAATTGATCAGTGGGTGAATTTCCTTGTTTTTGGTTGAGATTTATTATTTTTTTTTAAGATTTATATATTTTTTTATTGGAAAGGCAGAGAGGAGCGACAGAGAGGAAGATATTCTGCCTGCTGATTCATTCCCCAAGTGACCGCAATGGCCGGAACTGAGCCGGTCCAAAGCCAGGAGTCAAGAGCTTCTTCTGGGTATCCCACATGGGTGCAGGGTCCCAAGGCCTTGGTCCATCCTCAGCTGCTTTCCCCAGTCACAGGCAGGGAGCTGGAAGGGAAGTGAAACAGCCGAGACATGAATTGGCACCCACTTGGGATCCCAGCGCATGCAAGGCAAGGACTTTGGCCACTAGGCTACTGTGTCGGGTCCAAGCTTTAATTATTTTTATCAGAAAGGCAAAGTCACAGAGAGGAGAGACTTAGGGAAACATCTTCCATCAGCTGGTTTACTTCCCAAATGATTGCAACGACCAAAGCTGAACCAGCAAGGAGTCAGAAGCCTCTTCTGAGTCTCCCACGTGGATGCAGGGTCCCAGGGCATTGGGCCTTCCTCCACCGCTTTACCAAACCATAAGCAGAGAGCTGGATGAGAGGTGGAGCAGGTGGGACATGAACTAACACACACGGGATGCTAGCACTTACAGGTGGAGGATTAGCCAGCTGTGCCATCGATCTGACCCCTAGAATGATTTTTTTTAATGTTTACTTATATGAAATACACAGATAATTAATGTCCAATTTGACCTGTATAACTAATGTTACAGTTGAGATATAGAGCAATTTTTTCATTGTTGTGTTCTCTCTAGGATTATCTTTTAAAAATAAAAATAAAATTATCTTTTAAATATAATTTCTAAACATGCAGACTGGATTTATAATATATTGTTTAGAGAACTTACGTGAGGGTGGAAAGTGTGAAATAGTGTAGAGGAATGGTGAGCACTGAATTTGGGAGAGTGGTTGCCTCTTGGAGTTGGGGGATAAGGGAATGTGCTTATGAGTTATATTGGACATTTTTTACTTCTTCATTTTTGTTGGTATTAGGTACAGTGTTCCTATTTTTCTATAACCTTTTATATGTCTGATGTATATTTAAGTTTAAAAGCCACTTTTTTTGAGACGCACATGGAAAAGTACACACACGTGCCTATGAGGCTTGGTGAATTCCTTGAATATGTCCATATGAGCAGGCTATCAGGAAAGGGAGCATTGCCAACCCCCGGGTCCAGTCTCATCTCTCTTGGAAACCTCCAGAGATAACCATGGTCCAAGTCTGTTAGCATGGTCCAAGTCTGTGTGGCCAGTACTTCCCACTCCCAGAAGGGCATGCAATTTAGTCTTTTGACTTTGATTCCTTCTGGCAAGGCAGTGTCTGTGAGACTGATCCACCATTTTTAGCTGGTCAGAGGCCCACTCGTTTTTATTGCATCGCATGGGAATGCCACTGTTTATCTGTTCACTTGTAGGTGGTCATTTAAATCATTTCCCGTTTCTTATGATTAGTAATAGTGTTGTTCTGAGCATTGATTTGTATATACATGTGAATATAATGTTGGGAAATGTGGTACATGAGAGCATTTTAATTCTGTCTATCCAACACATCTTTTGTGATATCATCAAACCTTTTGTATCTGTTGATTTTAAAACACACTATATATTATTGCCTTTTTGGAAAAACCAGATATGCATTTTGAGCATTACAGATTATTTTTAGACTTACTTTATGCATTTGAAAGGCAGACTTACACAGAGACAGGGACAGATGGAGATGTTCATTCACTGGTTCATTCCCCAGATGGCCACAACAGTAAGGATTGGGCCAACCGGAAGCCAGGAGTTTCTTCTAGGTCTCCCACATGGATCTGGTGACCCAGCACTTGGGCCATTGTCCACTGCTTTCCATCGTCCTGCTGCAGTTAGCAGGGAGATGGGTCAGACATGGAGCAGCTTTATGGGATGCTGGTATAGCAGGAGATGGGAACTTGGTATACCAGAATGTCGTCCCCATTGTCTTTGTTTTAAACAGTTCATATTCATTATTTACTCATATGTTTGTCTTTTCTTTAGTTCCTTTTTATTTTTAAAAAATTTTTTATACACTATCATGTTCCCATTTAGAATCATTTTCTTCTGACCAATTCATATTCCATCACTATGTTCTAGTTTGTCTGTGAATGAATTTTTATTTTCACGGAGTATAGAATTCTGTTAAAGCAGATTTTATTGCTAGTTATTTAATACATTGTTCCATTGTCTTCAGAGTTCCATTGTTTCTGTTGAAAAATCAGTCATCAGCCAACATTGTTATTCTTCTGTTAAAGTAATATATTTTTCTCCACTAGCTACATTTAAGGTTTCCTAATTTTTTTCCTTTAATTTGATCATTTTTCTGTGACATTTCTAGTTCTGGTTGAACTATAGTTTTTCTTGTTTATCGATTGTTTAACACTGCTTGACCTTTTTGTGGTTTTTGTATTGGTTCCTTGCTAGCTTTCATGAATTTGCTATTCAAATACTTCTGTTGTTCCATTCTCTTTTTCTGGGTCTCAAACTACATATATGAGCATATATGGATTTCAAAGAATTTTTTTTTTTTTTTACCTAAGTTAAACTTACCTTTCTATTTCAGTTGCATGATCTTCTTGAGGTATTCTTGCATTTAAGACTTTCATCTGTATCACACATTTCCGTTGCATGCTTCTACATATTCCCCATTTCATTTTTTCTCTGTGCTTCAGTTTTGAAAAGTTTTTGACTTGCCTTCTGGTTTATTAGTTATTTCTTCTGCTATGTCTAATATGTTGCCCATCAATTGAATTTGTAATTTCAGTTATTATATTTTACAGCACTGGCAATTTCATTTTATTCTTTTCTGTTTAGGGGAAGAGAGGAAGGGAAAGGGACAGGGTGAGAGAGCAAGATTGAGCGTGCGCGTGCATGTGCATGCGTGCATGTAAGAGAGATGCAGCTTTTAAATGCTAATTCACTCTCTGAAAGCCTGGCACAGTAGAGCAGGGTAGGCTAAAGGCAGGTGCCTGGGACTCAATCCAGGTATACCATATCAAAGGCAGAGGCCCAAGTAGCTGAGCCCTCATCTGC